GCCGGCCGGGAGCGGACATCGACAGAGACCAGCCTTGGCAGCTACAAAGTGGACTCAAGGCCAGCCTAAACTGCAAAGTGAGATCCCTTCTCAAAAAGACAACAAACCAACAAGCAAAACCAAGTATTGATGAACATGTAGAGAAACTGCAAAGCATGCATTCTGTTGGTGAGAATGTTAAATGGTACACCCACTATGAAAAACAGTATGGTAGCTCCTCAAATATTATATATAAAGCCAGGAATAATGGCTCACACCTATAATTCCAGGGAGTCTGAGGCAGGAGGATCACTGTGAGTGTGAAGGAAACCTGGGCTACGACAGAGGGTTCAAGGCCAGCCTAGGCTACATAACAAGACCTAAGAAAGAAAGAGCAAGGGGGAAGAGGATGGAAGGACTAAATATAGACTATTTCTACTGTTTGGCTTTTAGGAATAATGGTGCCATGAAATACAAGAATGCAAATAAATCTTTGACATGCTACTGTCAGTTATTTTAGTTATATATCAAGAATGAGACTGCTGGATCATATGGTAATTCTATCTTCAATTTTCTGAGGAATCACTATACTGTTTTCTATAAGAGAGACATCATTTAAGATTCCCACCAAAAATGTAGAGATTTTGCCACATCTTTGTTAATATTTGCTGAAGTTTCTGTTATTTGTTTTAATGCTACCCAGGCTGGTCTCGAACTAGATTCAAGTAACTTTCGTAGTTTAGCTTCCCATTGTGCACAGCTTTTCCTGTTTTTTTTTTGTTGTTGTTGTTGTTTTTTTTTTTTTTTTTGTAGAAAACATCCTAATAGGCATGAGGCAGAATCTTGTGGTTTTGATTTGCATTTTCCTAATGGTTACTGGCACTGAGCATCCTCCAAGTAAGTTTAAGAGCTACAGTTCACTTTTACCAGAAATGTCGTAAGAGTACATTTTCTCTCTCTCTTTTTTTTTAATTTGCAATGCTAGGGATGGAAGCCAGAGCCTAGGTAAATACCACTGAGGCACATCCCAGCCCCTTCCACAGCCTTGTAAGTAATGTTCTTTTTTATTTTGATCAATTTGACAGTAAGAAAAGGGCATCTTGCTGTTTCTTTAACTTACACTTTCCAAAAAGCAAAGGTGAACATCTTTTCATTTGTGCTCTGGATTTGCTCTTTTGGAACCACTTTCTTTTTCTGCTTATCCTTTTCTTGTCAATTTATGAGTTCTGACATACTAAATTTTATCTGTCCTCTGAATTGGACCCTTTTGTCTAATCTATTTGTTTTTCTACTGACTTTATAGGTCAAGATGGCTCTTTTATCATCACTATCACTGTCTGACGAGCCAAGCAGCTACCTTCTCTTTCACAGCTTCCAGTGTACTAACCTTAAAGCCTCCCAGTTTTTCTTGATATGCTCTTCATTTCTGTATAAGCAAAACAGACCAATTTTGTCTTCTTATAAATAAACGTCCAGTTGTAGTAATACAACTTGTTAAATCATCCTTTACCAACTCATCTGAATTATTACCGTTGACTATATTAAATTCTCATATAGTCTAGGTTTTATTTCTGGATTCTGTATTTTGCCTTACTGGTCCATTTTTTTCTTATGTAAACAGTATTGTATACTGATTTGATCATAAAGTTCACAATTCCTTAACAGTAATTCCAAAAAATAAAAAAAAAGAAAAATTTACAAAAGTAAAATAAAAAATTCCTAGCTCCAAGTTACTAAAAACTGAAAAAGTATCTTGAATTTTTTTTTCCAAGTTTGTGACATGAAGATATTTACAGTCTATTTTTTTCCACTTGTGAGCCAGGAATGGTGGTGTACACTTGTAATTTCAGCACTGGGGAGGCTGAGGCAGGAAGATCACCATGAATTCAAAGCCAGCCTGAACTACATAGCAAAACCCTGCTCCCACTTCACCCCACTAAAAACTCTTCTCCCCTTGATATGCTGCTGGGTGTGTGTCACACTGTAGGTAACTCACTATATACCTAACGTATTTCCACCCTAAAATCCAAAATTTTCAAATCCCCAAAATACATTTGGCTCCAAGGGGTTCTGAGAAGGAACAGTGAGCTGTACCCTCATATGCCAACCATATCATCTACATTACATATTTTAATCATTCAAAAAGCCCTCTGAAATAAAGATCATCGGGGCTGGGGATTTAGCTCAGCAGCATAAACACCTGCCTTGCAAGCAGGTAGTCTTGAGTTCGATCCCTGGTACCGATAAAAAACGAAAAAGACAGACAGACAGAAAGAAAGAAAGATCATCTCTTTTACAGGTAGGGATGATGCTATTCATAAATTTAGTGACCAAAGTGACAGTTGCAAAATAGAAGGGATGGAAATAGGAAAAAGATGAGGATCCAAACCCATGTCTAACTCCAGGGCACATGCTTGCTTGTCTTTCTCTCTTTCTTTTTGTGATGCCAGATATAGAACTCAGTGCTTCACACATGCTAGGCAAGCACTCTACTACTATATATCCCCAGTCCCAAGAGCTCAAGCTTGTAACAGCTATACTTAAAAATGTATCTGTGATTCTCAGTACTTAAAAAAAAAAAAAGACATCATCTTGTAGCTCTGCACATAGTAGGTGCTCAACCCAAGAGCTACTGTGCTGTAACTGCAAACAGTAGAACACTAGCTAGGTTTCTGCCTATCTTGGGAAACCGACTTGCTGGGAAAGAGATAATCTCAAGGGATCAGAATGCAGCGTTATGGCAGACCCTGAGGAAGTGACAAGTAGACATTGGCTATGTAACATGATAGCCCTCATCATCCCAGGACAGTTCTGAGACCCTTTATTTTGCCCCCCCACAATACTCTTGGCACAAAACTACATCCCTACCCCCTTTTTACTTTTTGTTTTGAAAACATGGTCTTGCTAAATTGACTGGGCTAAAATATACCTGACTCAGCCTCCCAGAGTACTGATTACAAATGTATGCTACCACACCTGGCCTTTTGTTTTTTTTTTTTTTTGGTACCAGAGATCGAACTCATGATCTCATGCTTGCCCACAGGCGTTTATACCACTGAGCCAAATCCCTGGCCCTATTTTTTTAAAGCTATACTGTGAGACCCATTTTAAAAAAAAAAAAGACTATGACTATATTTACTTCTGTAATCCTGAGTGTCTGCCACAGGACCTCATACAAGCAATGTTAACTATATGCTAAAACAAGAACCTGGAACTCTTTCTTCCAAGCTCTTCTTGTTACAGAGTTGCTTCAGAGCATCAAGATATTTCCTAGCTGAGTGTGATGGCACATGCCTATAATCCCAACACTCAGGAGACTGAGGCAAAAGAACCCTACAGATTCCAGACCAACCTGAGCTACAAAATGAGTTCAAGGCCAGCCTGAACTGCATTGCAAAACCCTGTCTCTTCTAGTTTTCTTTTGACTGAGTAGGTTTATTTTTTTCTCTCTCTTTTTTTTCACATATTTACTTATTGGAGGGTTTTTTTTTTCCTTCTTTTTCTACTTGAAATAAAATGGATTTGGAAAAAGACATTTTCTTTTCTTTTTTTTTTTTTTTTTTTTTGTCTTTTTCATTTTTATCGGTACCAGGGATCGAACTCATGACCACACACTTGTAAGGCAGGCGCTTATGCCGCTGAGCTAAATCCCCAGCCCCTCAAAAGACATTTTCTAGAGCATCTCAGCTCAGTTCTACAAAATGTGCCCTTTCTATTACTGTCTCAAATTTAAGTGAAAACAAATATGAAGGGTATTAAAAAGAAAAAAGCGGGGGGGCTGGGGATTTAGCTCAGCGGCATAAGTGCCTGCCTTGCAAGTGTGTGGTCGTGAGTTTGATCCCCAGTACCAATAAAAATGACAAAGACAAAAAAAAATAAAATAAAATAAAATCACAGTTCAGTGAGTTTCCATGACCATGATTTACCATTTTTTTTCTTCTTTTAAGACAGATTCTAATGACAAGCTGCCCTCAAAGTCTTGAGCCCACTGTCTCAGCCTCTAAGTACTGGGATTATAAGGGTATTGCCATTATGTCTGGCATGACTTACGATCTTCAAAAATGTAATAATAAATTAAGGAATCAGAAGAAAGTTCAAGGTCTAAGAACTAGTCCTGCAAACCCAATCCCCAAACTAGTGAACTCTGGGTCACTATACCTGGGAAGCCAATGAATTAGCAGACTTTTCCTTAAATGTCTCTCTTCTGAGTTTTGATTTTTACCATTTGCCCACTCTCATTTCTCAGATCAGTAATTAAGTGAAAAGGGAATCAAGTTCTTTTGACAGCGGACACAATGACACATGCCTGTAATCCCAGCATTTAGAAGGCTGAGGCAGGAGGATTGTGATTTCAAGGCCAGCCTGCAATACAGAACATGAACCTGTCTTATTTTTTGGTACTGGGTTGGTACTGGGGATCAAGACTTCGCGCTTGCCAGGCAGGCACTTACACCACTGAGCTAAACCCACAGTTTAAACCTGTCTTTAAAAACAAAATCAAAGCTGGGCATAGTGGCTGACATCCTGTAATCCCAGCACTCGGGAGGCTGAGGCAGAAGGTTCATTGCGAGTTCCAGACCAGCCTGGGCTACAAAGTGAGCTCAAGGCCAGCCTGAACTGCATAAAGAGACCCTGATTCAAAAAGTCAAAAACAAACAAACAAAAAAAACCAGCAGTTTCATAATGTCAGGGACAAGAGGTAGGTTTTTCAACCATGGCTCCCTTACAATTAAGCTCAAAACTTTGTACAAGGTGCAAAACATCTCTGAGCCAGTTTTCTCATCTCTAAAATGGGAGATAGTTAACAACTGTTCTTTTCATAAAACTGCTAAAAAATCACGGGAAACAGCTGGACAACATACCCCAAGGAGTGAGGCTTCCATGAAAGCTTGCTTCCCTTGCCTAGCCTTACCCTAGGCACTCATCCTCTAGTAAAGGTTCTCATTATGCTAAAGGAAGGCCACATGAACTTTCTTTCTCAATAGAGACCTGCCCGAGAGACAGGAGTCACCAACACTCACCTTCTCTGCCATGCCCTCTTCTCCTCCAACGAAAAAGTCTGTTTTGCGCCGAAGGAAGCTAAAGAAGGTGTTCACAAGCTGAAAGACAGAGGGAAAAGACTAAAGCTGAGGGGTGGCAATGCTGGGTATCCTCCAATGCATAAAGTTGATTTCCTTAGTCCAGGAACAACTATTTCACTGAGCTTCCCAGTCAAGCCCCCTTGGTCACTCCCACCAGCAAGCTTGCCCTAACCTTTGGGCCATCTGAGGAAGACTGCTGACATTTTGTATGTATCCGTGTACATGAGCCACTTCCACTTTCATTGCGGTGCTAGAAGCCTGAACACACAGAATATTGCTCTTCTTCATCCAGTTCCTAAAATGTCTAAACCTAATTTTCATCTCCAGAAAGTAAAACATCAAGATCCTAAGATAAGCAAGGAAGGGAGCACATGAAGCTGCTTCCATAAAGGTTAAAATGGACTAACTCTGGTTGGGGGGCCTGCATAACCAAGTGCATGAGTATGAGCACTGGACCAATGTATCAGCCAGGTAACAAAGGAAAGCTTCTGAATTAACACTGCAGGACCTAGTTCTAGGACCTGGCAATGAGCCTTTCAGTGTCTGCCACAGAGCAAAAGTCTCACTGGTAGAAGGTAAAATCTTAACATAGGAACTATCATCCATGGTTTACTTTTTCTTCAGCTACAGTGAGGGAGGCCATCAGAATATAGACAGTTGCTAAATCATACCTTGTCTTGGGATCTTTTGACTTTACAATACTATGAAATCAACATATGTATAGAAATCAATTTTGATCATATTTTGGGCTAGCAACACTACTCCATCATGAGTGCAATGAGCTTAGAGTCTACATGCACTGTGTTGCTATGCTATGATGTTCAGTTATGAGTTCTTTTGTTTTGTTTTTTTTTAAACAGGAATGGAACTCAGGACATCACACTTGCCAGGCAGGTGCTGTGCTACTGAGTTATATCCCCAACCTGAAAGGCATCTTCTGCTCAATCATATTTCCAACTTACAGTAAGTTTCTCAAGATGCAACCCCATTAAATGTCAAAAAACACCTATCTGTACAGGCTCAATGCAATTCATGCTGATTGAAACAATTTAATGGTAATAAAGGGTCAGCACAAACAAGCTCTTTTATTTGCCTGAGTCGCTCTAAATCTGATGCTAGAATTATCTCAGCAGTTATAATTCTTGTTTCTAGACTTTTTCAACTAACCCAAAAATGAACTCACTCCCAAATCCATTCTGTGTCAATAATTTAGGAGGCTTGCAACAAAGAGCCTTTTCACATTTGTAGAGCAAAAATACCTTACCACCTCAAAGGGTTTACAAATCCTTGGTCACCATAGGCAACCAGGGACAAAGAGTGACAACAGAAACTCACTAAGAGCCTGTCTCCAGTGTGCCACAAAATCAGCAGTAGATTGTGCAAAATACACTAGCCTAAGAGCAGGGTCTGTCCAGGTCAAGAGCTCTGTAATGATCAAATTCCTGTCACTCTATCCTTTGGGAGCTTTATAGAATGTAGGTTCTGATCTAATCTCAACAGGCTCTTATTTATTTTCTGGTATTGGGAATCAAACTCACAACCTCACACTTGCCAGGCAGGTGCTGTGCTGCTGAGCTGTATCTCCGGCCTCAACCGTCTTTTTTACTTCTTTCTGTTTGAAAAAACTAAGCACAGAACCTGTACTAGCTGGGCCTTGCTTTTCAAACAAAATATGTTACTCTGTTATACACAATGAGTATTGGTCCCTGGGCATTAAAAAGTGTTTGTAAAAGCTTTTTGTCAGCTCCAGAATATCAAGGGCAGGAGTCCAAGGATACAGCTGGATGGGTGTTTGGCATATATCAATCACTGGTGACAAACACGTGTTGAATGAACAGGTCTCGCTGAGAACTCAGTCCTTCAAAGATACTACTCTCTTGTAACTCAAAACAGGGATTTGCAGTTTCACCTTCTAGACAAAGAAAGTGAGGCTTCGAGAGGTGGTAGTGTCCCAAACTGGTATGCAGTGGAAACCATTAAGTTCAGATTTCCTATTCCCTCAGTCAAAACCTAAAAGGCGGGGCGTGATGGTGCACGCGTGCAGGTCCAGCACTGGAGAGTCTGAGGCAGGAGGATAACTGGGAGTTCGAGGACAGCATGGGCTGTATAGGGAGTTTGAGGCCAACTTGCACAAGACTCTGTCTCCAAAAGGGGAAGGGCTAAAAGATCACGTGTCAACATCACTCAGCTCTCCAGCCCCCCCCCCCACACACACACACACACTGACCCGCGGGCTCTAAATCTGAGTAGGTGCAAATCACAATGTCTGCAACAGTCTAAAGGATGCTCTTCAGACACAGCGATCTAGGGGAAAAGCATGTATGGTACCAACGTGGGAAAGGAGGAATCGTAAGTGTCTGGAGGAATTCTAGAAGAAAAAGCAACTGCAGAATTGCTAGGACAGGAACTACTAAGGCGCACCTAAAGTCTGGGACCAAAAGCTGAGCGGTGAGCCCTCCAGGAGGATGGCCGGACCGGAAGCTCGTGTATAGTCAGAATGTAGGAAATGTCTGGAACCCGTGAGGCCAACCTAGGTCGACCTCAGCCCTCAAAGAAAAGAGGAGGAAGAGAACGCTAGGACCACGCGTGGGCGAGAGCTGCTAAGCCGGGTAGGCCGACGCCGCGAGGGCCGTTACCTCCTGCACGCCGCCCTCGTGCTGCTGCGCCATGGCCAGCAACATGCCGTCGAAACGCTCCTCTTCTTGCTCTCCGCCCATCGCGCCGGTCCCGACCCTGGCCTGGTGGTCTGCACTCGAGTCTAGAACAGTATCCCTTCCTCGAATTGCCGTAAGGCCCAACCGCTCAAGTCGCCCCTCTTCCGCAGCGGAGCCGGAAACACGCACACGCCTCACCGCCCAGACCCGCCTCCTCTCTCTTCTCCCGCCTCCCTCCAGGCTCATGACCACTTACCGCGCGGCAAACAGCGCGCTTCGCAGCCCATTGGTCTATGTTTGAGCCAATCAACGAGCACGTCCACGAGGCGGTGGGCGGAGCCAAGGGACCGCGAGTTTGGTTTGAGTTGCTATGGTCACCAGATACTTTGGAGCCTTCTAGAAAACCAAGACTCAAATAGTGGGGAGGGGGCAGAAGTTGAAAAAGTACTAGTTTTGCTTCTCCGTCTTGTTAACCGGCACCCATCTTGTAGAACAGTGGAATCGCAAGTGCCTTTAGTCACCTCCTACAACCGTACATGAGGCAATTGAGACTTGGCACTTGGCCAAACAGCCTACCTTCCTCCTTACTACTACACATCCAGAAAGGCCAGTTCTGTGGGCATACAAACTTCATTTGCACTTTAGGAGGTGTTATGGCTTGGATCTGAAACGTCCCCCCAAAAGCTCAAGTATTGAAAGGATTTGCACCCAATGCAGAGTGATTTGATCAAGAGGCCTCTGACCTAATCAGTGTGAAGGGAGGGGCCTTAGTTATAAAAGACAGCTCTCTGCTGAACACGGAAATTGGGCACTGCATACCAATTGCTCCTAGATTCCTAGCACTAGGGAAGCTGATAAGACTGCCCCAAACTTGAGAGCAGCCTGTACCACCTAGTGAGTCTGAGCCCAGCCTAAGACCTTATCTCAGAAAACCAAATAAACTGGGTTTGGTGGCTCCTACTTACAATTTTGACTCTGGGTGGCTGAGGCAGGGGAATCACAAGTACTATCCCAGGCTGGGCAATTTAGTGACTTAAACATTGTCAAAAAAAAAAAAAAAAAAATCTGGGGATGTAACTCAGTGCAAGCTTTCTGTTTGCTTGCACTACCATGCAAATAGTGGCTTCCATGAGGTGAGCAGTTTGCTCCACCATGTGGCCCCTGCCGTGATGTTGTGCATCACCATATGCCCAGACAGGACGGGGACAAGTGACCATGGACCATGGACTGAAATGTGAGCCAGAGTAAAAAGCATTCCTCTTTCTACGCAGTTGTTCTCCTCAGGTATTTTTTTCATTGCAATGAAAAGTTGACTAATTCAGGTCTCTACTTAGTTTAACATTCTTATCTGGACATGATGGCACACCTGTATAATCCCAGCACTTGGGAGGCTGAGGCTGGAGAATCGATGTGAGTTGGAAGCCAGCCTGAACTGCATAAGTAAATCCTGCCTTAAAAAGACAAAAACAAATAAATAAAATAAAAGAGGAAAAGAAGGATGCTTTGCAGAGAGCACAGTGGCCATACAGTTAGGGATGGCCTTCTGTATTTAGCCTGACATCAGATCAAGGTCATCCTATGAAAAACTTGCTTGATCTCACACCAGAACAATTGAAGATATCCCTTTTTGATTGGTCCTAGAGCCAGAGCTTGTTTTTCTGAGCATGTATTCTGTATTCCGTGATTGACAGGTCACACTCACGTCCCAATTTCCTACCTCATTAAATATGGAGGCTGGTTTCCAGAAATTTCAGGCCAATCTCTATACTTATCCAATAAATCTCAGCATCTTAGTTCTTTTGAAGACTGTCCCCTGTAATTCATTACATTTCTTCTAGGCTCTGCATCACATATTTGTTTCTTTTGGATTATTCTCTTTAACATCACTTTTTAAAAAACTATTGCACAACTTCACTTTCTTCTGCTGCTGCTATCACATTTTCAGTTCATTTACAGCAAGACCTGAAAAGATTGCTGTATTTTCCATGTTCAGGGGCACATGGTTATAATCCCAGCTTCTCAAGAGGCTGAGGAGAGGATTGCAAGTTTGAGCCTGGCCTGGGCAATTTAATGAGCTCCTGTCTCAAAATATTTTTTAAAAAAATTTAAAGAGCACTGTACTTGTTTCTTCATGTCCTCACTTTCCACCTCTCCTCAGTTTACTCAAATTAGTCTTAAAGGGCTTGGATAATGTCACAACATTATATATTGCCAAACCCAATGAACCACTATTATCTTACCTAATGTCTTAGCTGTATTTGACTCTTCTTTTAAGAAACACTTTTCTTCCTTTCTGTTATATAATGAACTGTATTCCTGCAAAATTCTTCTGTTAAAGCTCTGACCCCAGTGTGATTGAATTTGGAGAAAGGGTCTTTAAAGAGATCATTACCAAAAAAAAAAAAGTGACAACTAAAGAGAACATTACAGCTGGGCATGGTGGCTCATGCCTGTAACCTCAGCACTCAAAAGGCTGAGGTGGGAGGATCGTTGCGAGTTCGAGACCAGCCTGGGCTACAAAGTGAGCTCGAGGCCAGCCTGAACTGCATAGCAAGACCCCGTCTCAAAAAAAGACAAAAAAAAAAAAAAAAAAGAGAGATCATTACAGTTAAATGATTTTGTAGAGGTGGGTCCCTAATGCAAGAGGATTGATGTCCTTATAGGAAGAGGAACAGATACCATGGATGCACACAGAGGAAACATAGTGAGAAGACATAGTGAGAAGACAGTCACCATCTACAAGCATTCAGTTATTCTCTATCTCAGTTGCCATCAACTCAGCCTGTCCTCTGAACCAGCCAGTTGCTTGGGGGATGGGAAGAGTTCTTGACTGACAGCCCACACACCAGTCAGCTTGCAGGGAGGGTGATCTGGCCTCTCTCTTCCTGGGCCCTACATGGTTTGCCCAGCTTACCAGAAAGGCAAACTGGCTTCTTGACTTGCTCCTCCCAGACCCAACATGGCTTCTGCCGACTCACAGGAGGGACAAACTCCCTACCTCCTTTCTTTTACCTTTCACCAAGCAGCCAGTCTTGTAAAGCAACAATGGCAAAGTTTTTAGAGCTTTCAATAACAAACAGGCAGCTGTGGCCCATATGCCATAGGCTCATCATCACTATCCTAGAGTATAAACCAGATCTTGTTACGCCTTTGCTTAAAATCAGCCCTCACAGAACGCCATTCATTTTATAAATCAACCCAGGGCCCTTGTATGCTGTGACTCTTCCCTAAGAGAGAAAGACCCAATCTTGAACCCCAGCAAATTCACAGAAATAAGATATGTTGCCCAGCCAGGGATACAGCTCAGTGGCACAAGTGCCTGCCTGGCAAATGCAAGGTCATGAGTTCGATTCCCTATACCCCTCCCCCCAAAAAGAAAAACATGTAGAAAGATATGTTGCCCAAGAAGTCCTCTTGGTGAACAATCTCACCTGGTGACCTCTGGCTCCATCAGCATTGAACCCTACCAATAGCAGGGACAGAGAAACAGCAGGGACACCTTGTACCAAGCATTCTATTAGGGGTGTAGACCAGGCACCCTATGAACACAGAAAGGAGCACTTTTTCTTCCAAGGAGTGGAAAGGAAAAGATGTGAAGCCTGTGCCAAAGCTGCAACATTTTGATCTGGACCTTTAGTGTAAACAGCACGGGAATTTGGCAAGCACAAAGGACAAGGGAAAGCCATCACTGGCAGGGCGACAGCACAGGCCAGTGATGGTGAACCTTTTAGAGTTTCCAATGATACAGTCACCACTGCCATAGGCAAATGCTTGGAAGTACAGAGAGGGTATGCAATGTGTCAGAGACCAAAAAGGCACTGAGTAGAGCCTTTCCAACTCCCAATTCCAGCCCTTAGCCCAGCCCTTCTTGTGCCCATGACCTCCCAGTTTTCCCCACAAAAAGTCTAAGGCCTCTGCACGTAAGAGCGTATCACTCAACATAACACAAAAATTATGTAAACACTTGCACATACATTGTCTTAGGGGGTGCGCTTTATTATTACAGATAATTCCCAGCCCATTACCTGACCGACACAGAGAATGTGCTCAATACATGTAGAATTCTTACAATTATAGTGATTGATCTTCTTGATGATAACTAACACCTCTTTCCATCATTACATGAAGATTTACAGATAATTGTCTTGTGACATTACTTTGTAAACCATAAAGTGCTAAACAGTTGTCCTGAACTTTTCCTCCAGAATGGCTTCCAAATCCAAGCTCCATCACACCATGTTAGCTTCTTTCTCATCTCTGATACCAGGATCAGAGTTACAGAGAACAAGACTGACTGTCCCTCTTTGGACTAGGGACAACCAAGGATTGGCCCATGTTTCCCCTGCAGACTGCGGGCTCCCAAGAACAGGACTCATCTGTTCTATCAGAATAAGCTCTTGCTGGGTATGATGGCTCATGCTTGTAATCCCACTCAGCACTAGGGAGGTTGAGGCAGGAGGATCACTGCAAGTTTGAGACCAACCTGGGCTACAAGGTGACTCAAAACCAGCCCAAACTGTATATCGACTCCCTGTCCCAAAACACACACACACACACACACACACACACACACACACACACACACACAAATAAAATAAAGATCTCTGAATTCTGCCCTGTGACGCTCCAGTCAGATTTCAGGTTCCCAAAGTCAGAACTGTATTTCCTCACTTCAGATTGAAGTCAGGACCTGGGTCAAGGGCAGTTGATGGCCCATCAATCTCTGACCCACGCTTCCACTTCTAAAAGCAAATGACCTCTGTGAGGATCATGGCTTTAGAGACCCAGAAAAGCCTTTCCTTATGCTCAGTGCCTACAAGACAGACACCCCAGTCTTCAGACCCCACACAAAGCTCAGAGAACAACAGTTCCTCATAGGGTTAAAAAGAAAGAAAGGTAGAAAGAAAGAAAGAAAGAAAGAAAGAAAGAAAGAAAGAAAGAAAAGAAAAGAAAAGAAAAGAAAAGAAAAACCAAAACATGGCCAGGCCTGTAGGTGCATGTCTGTAATCCTCACATTCAGTAGGCTGACCCAGGAAGATCACTATGAGTTTGAGGCCAGCCTGGGCTATGTAGTGAATTCAAGGCCAATCTGAACTACATAGTAAGACCTTGTCTCAAAAAAGCTCTAAAAAATGAAAAACCCAAGACACGAACCCAGGGACCTAACTGACAGCCCAGCAGAGGGCCTCTCCCTCTTCAACTTCCTCTTCCAAAAATGGAAGTCACAGCAACCATTATGACAAATGTTATCCTTTACAGAGCACTTGCTGTGAATCCTCACAGACACTAAGGAAAGGCCCTGTCAGAGCTGATTTCCCACAAAGCGAAGAGGCTGTGGTTGGAGTGTAGCTCAGTGGTAGGGCCCTTGTCTGGGATGGAGGTGGAGGCCCTGGCTTTCATGCCCAACACTGCAAATTTAGGACCCTGTACTTCCACACGGGCCAATCTTAGGCACTAAGAAAAGGCCCAGTAATGAATGTCTTTGTAGGTCAAACATACTATTTGTTTTTCTTTTTAACTTGAAAATGTAAAATTTTTGCACTAACATTAGTTAAGATGACTGTTTCTTCACACTCTATTCCACTTTCCTAGGCTCAGGTGATGTCAAAGAGACCACAAGGATTTGAGGCTCCAACTAAAGGGAAGTTGAGCTGGAGACACATTTAGTTTGGAGTTGGCAGGATATGGTTAGATGGCTGGTGTCCTTAAGAGCTCTCCCGGGAGAGACAGAAATAAGCTAGAAATAATCCTATCATTCATGATGTGCCATGACAGCATGAGTTGGAGATCTCATCCCAACATAACTGATTCCCAGCACACCAGAAATTCTTTCAGTTGTCACATGTGTAAGTTGTCCCTTTGTAGTGACACTAAAGCAGGAAGTTCGCTCTCGTAGGAAAGATAAAGAATCTATATAATATTAGTCTTAGATGTTCTTTACATAGTTATCTTTTTCTTTAGTACCAGGTGTAAACCCAGGGCCTTTGTGCTAAGCTACCTTCCCATTCCATTTTTTACTTTTTATTTAGAGATGGAACTTGCTAAGTTGCCCTGCTTTGTTTGAATGTGTGATTTCTCTTTAGCCTTCCAGAGTACTGGGACTTTAGGCCTGTGCCACATCTTTTTATTTTGGGGGATCTGGGGATAAAACCCAGGGCCTCCCATAGACCGAGCAAGTGCTCAACCCTGAGCTACACCCTCAGCTGAGGGTAGTTTTCTTTCTTTTGAAAGGAGTTACACCAAATAATTTTATTAAAATTTCTGTCACAAAAACCAGGCATGGAGGCACATACCTATAATCACAGCATTCAGAGGCTGAGGCAGGAGGATTGCTATAAGTTTGAGGACAGACTGGGCTACATAGTGAATTTAAGGCCAGCCTGGAATACACAGTAAGACCCTGCCTCAAAGAAGCAAAACTAAAGTGAAACAAAACCAGAAAACATAAACTGCCTACCACAATTTATAAACAGTTCTACAAATAGCAAATATTTCTACATGTGACATGTTTTAGGTATCCCAACTATCAAGAATAATTTCTGTTTTCATATGTGATGCTGAGGATTGACCCCAAGATCTCACACATCCTAGGAAAGTGCTTTACAGCTGACTATCCCCCTGGCCCAGAATCAGTTGTTTGGAGTACTGGTTTAGTAGGAGGTGGAAAAGTTGGTCTCTTGTTAGAGGAAAGACAAAGGAATGTTTACAGAATGGTGGAGGTTTGTCAAAAAGATATAGACTCCAAGCCAGGCAGCTGAGGCAAGAGGATCATGAGTTCAAGGCCAGCCTGAGTAATTTAGGGAGACCTTGTTTCAAAATAAATTAAAAAGGGCTCAGTAATAGAAAACCCCTGAATTTGATCTGCAGCACAGAAGGCAGAGAAAAAGAGTCAGACAGAGAGACAGAGAGAGGTTAAAGGAACTCCCATTGGCCAACTTTGATATGATCTGACCATCAATGCAAATACTAACACTTTATAAGTTACTGAACACCATAGGAGACCACAAATTCATACTCATATAAATAAAAACTAATACATAAGCCGGGCGTGGTGGCTCACGCCTGTAATCCCAGCACTGGGGAGACTGAGGTGGGAGGATCCTTGTGAGTTCAAGACCAGCCTGGGCTGCAAAGTGAGCTCAAGGCCAGCCTGAACTGCATAGTGAGACCCTGTCTCAAAAAGACAAAAAAAAAAAAAAAACATAGAAACATTCCCAATGTGAGAAAGAGTATCTACATAGTTTTAAAATATTTTTTTGCAAAACTCTGATAAATTACAAAAGGAAAAAAGAGTAACTCAGTGAGGAAACCTGGCAGGTATCACTTTAATCAAATGACCAGAGTGAACATGGAACAAATGGCAGTGTTTGCTACCTGATGTATCAAGAAGAATTGAGAGCCAGGTGTGGTGGCAGCTGCCTCTCTGGGAGATAGAGACAGGAAGATCACAAGTTTGAGCCTATCCTGGGCAATTTAGCAATTCACTGAGACCATCCCTCAAAATAAAAAATAAAAAGGGGTGGAGATGAGTTTGGTGTAGGGTCCAGCGTTCAATCTCTAATACTGGGAGGGAAAATCTACAAAAGATGCATGCTTACTGGATAGCAGGAAGCTAAACTCCCATTCTGTATGCCAGGCCGCTGTCACCAGACATACAGGACCTCACTCTGTCCTCATGGTAGCCCTGTAGGGAGCCTTATTGTCCCTGAGGCTCTGAGACTCAGAGACAACTGAGGATTATCCCAAAATCACTCAACTGGGACGTGATGGAATTAGGAGCAGATGCCAGGGCTGGCAGCATCAGAGCCTATCTCAATCCCTGTCCAGGGCACCAGGGCACCTGAAGACCTGCCAGCCTGGACTGGCCAAGGTCCAGGGACATGGCCCGACTGAGAACCGCCCACCCACCCCTCCCCTGACACCCGTGAAACCTAGGCTGGGCACTGTGCACCTAGACCATAGGTGTGCAGGTTTGTGACATCTGCAGACCAGGAAGCGGTAAGGGCCAGCCATGGCAGCAGTCACTCACTCTGGGAAACTCAGTGTTTGTCTGCACAATTAACCCAGCTGACATAGAGAAACAAACAAGGACTTTGAGGGCAGATAGATGGAGCTCTGTCCCTTCCTGTCAGGATGACCTGGGGCAAAGCACTTTTAACCTTTTTTTCACAGGGGAAAAATCTATATTGCAGGGAAGCTCTCAGTACTAGAGTGGAACCTGACTGACACGTACTAGGTATTCAATAAGCGGCAGCTATGTTTCATGATCATCGTAACACAGCCTCAGGAGCTGCAGGAACCCAGGCTGGGGTCGGGGCTCTGAAAGACCTTATTTCTAGAGGGCCCCCAAGAGCAGAGACAGAGGAAGGGGCCTCTCAACTGCCCCTTGGCCAAAGTCCTCCCAGCCCCCCATGTGCTGGCTCCCTTCCCCGCAGCCTGTTCCTTACCGACAACAGGAGCAGGGCCCCAAGGTTAGGCAAACAATTAGCGATAAGGCACTTCCAGGCTGGGCCTTGTGTTCAAGGCTTGTCCAGCTCTGCGGCTGGCCTCCTGGCTTAGCAAGAATCCCAGGCCATTGCACACATTCAGAGTGGGCACCAATAGAACACCCACCCGTGACAGCCACCTGCTGATTGTGCACCTGAGGCCTTGGTGCCCTGGTACAGCCTGGGTTAATGACCCTGTTTATCCGTTTGAGTCATCTGATAAGGGGCAGCCCTGCAGCAGGAAGGCAGCCCTGGGGCCACTTCATTGACTGAGGCCATATCAGTGCCACGTGGAGCTTCCAATGTCCCCTCCCCCGCCACTTCCTCACCGGTCCTGCCAAGGTCAGCGTGTGTGCATTTTTTTTTTTTTTCAATGAACATGACTTGTAGAGTCAAGGTTGTTGGGCCATTCCCCTTCCCGCCCATCGAGGATATAAATAGCACCTCACTGCAGCTCAGAGAGCCAGAGGGCTGGGAAGAGCGAAGAGAAGATCTCCAGCCATGAGCTCCAGCCAACCAGGGGCCTGCCCATGCCAGGGTCCTGTGGGCCGCCCAGCAATTCTGCAAGCTCTCCTGAGCCCCAGCCTCAGGGCAAGGCCTCCTGTACCCCCATCCCGCTGCCTGTGTAGGCAGCACCGGCCCGTCCACCTGTGTGCTCCTCATCGCACCTGCCGGGAGGCCTTGGATGTCCTGGCCAAGATGGTGGCCTTCCTCAGGAACCTGCCATCTTTCTGCCAGCTGCCCCCACAAGACCAGCGGTGCCTGCTTCAGAGATGCTGGGGTCCTCTCTTTCTGCTTGGGTTGGCCCAAGATACTGTGACCTTTGAAGTAGCCGAGGCCCCAGTGCCCAGCATACTCAAGAAGATCCTGCTGGAGGAGCCCAGCAGCAGTGCTGGCAGTGCCCAGCTGCCCGACAGGCCCCAGCCCTCACTGGCTGCTGTGCAGTGGCTTCAGTGCTGCCTGGAGTCCTTCTGGAGTCTTGAGCTGGGCCCTAAAGAGTATGCCTACCTGAAAGGAACCATCCTCTTTAACCCAGGTGAGCTCCCAGACATGGGCATGACGGGAAGGCACAGGGGGACCACCAGACTGTCTATGGGCTGCGCATCTGTCCTCGCATCTGGTCCTCATTACCATCAAATAGCTGTCTCACGGAGAATGCCCTGAGAGGCTAAATAACTAGCTGAAGGTCTCACAGCCAAGTAGAGACAGAGAAAGGATGGGAACTTAGCTGTGTTTACTCCGGAGACTGCCCTTTGCCACTGGGCCTGAGAAATTTGCTCTGAGCCTTAGGGAATATGGGAGGGGGAAGAGGGCAGGAGCAGCTGTGTCCATCTTGTCTTCAAGGGCAGACTGTGGGGTGATATTCTGAAGGTTAAACTCCTCTGTGGGTTCTGAAAGACCACATGCAGGAGAGGAATGAAAAGGATTCTGGGGACAGGGAGGGACCACCTGTGAAACCCAGCCAGGAGAGCAATGGGTGGAGAATGCAGTCATCACAAGGGGATCCTGGCAGCAGTGGAAAGCATAGTAATCTGCTGTAACAGCAGCAAAGAGCGATGTTACACTCACCATATGTTAGAGCCCATTCTAAGGGGGGTGATTATTTTGTTTTGTTTTGTTGGTGTTTCAAGACACAGTCTCACTATGTAATTCAAGTTGGTCTTAAGCTCACTATGTAGCCCAGGTTGCCCTCAAACTCACAATGATCCTCCTGCCTCAGCCTCCCAGGTACTAGGAATACAGGAATGCACCACTGCATTTGCCTTCTAAGGGTTTTACATATAGTGGCTCATTAAGCCTCACTGGGCGTGGTGGCATATTCTTGTAATCCCAGCACTAGAGAGGATTGCCTTGAGTTCCAGGCCAGCCTGAGCTACATGGTGAGTTCAAAACTAACCTGAACTACAGTGAGACCCTGTCTCAAAACAAACAAAAAGTCTCATAATAAGACAGATATTATTATTATCCTCAGTTTACAGATAAAGAAACTGAGGCACAAAGGTTAAGTAACTTGTCCACAGTTATTCAGTCAGTAAGTGTCAACACTGGGATTTGAACCCAGGCAGCCTGATTCCCAACCTTTCCTATATATTGCTGTATAAAGAGGAGGGGTGACTAAAATGATAAATAATGCAGGCCTCAAAGGCCAAGCAAAGGTAGCAGGGAGCTTGGAGGGTGCAGTCTAAGAGCAGGGCACTTGCCTGGCATGTGAAAAGTTCTGAGTTCCATCCCGAAAGGCATCTACTGGTGGCCTCAGTGTCGGGGCAACTTCATTCTTTGGCGGCTGGGTAGGGGTGCTCACCAGGCTTCTTCTCCTGTCTGCATGCAGATGTGCCTGGCCTCCACGCCTCCGCCCACATTGGGCGCCTGCAGCAGGAGGCTCACTGGGCACTGTGTGAAGTCCTGGAGCCCTGGTACCCAGCAGGCCAAGGCCGGTTGGCCCGTGTCCTCCTAACAGCCTCCACCCTCAAGAGCATCCCCCCCAGCCTTCTTGGGGACCTCTTCTTCCGCCCCATCATTGGAGATGTTGACATCGCTGGACTCCTAGAGGACATGCTTTTGCTGAGGTGACCTGAGAGGAGAGGCGCCCCAGGAGCAGCCCGTCACTTGATCTCCTCCCCAGTTTGGCCCTCCTGGGTGTGGCATAGTGCTCCAGCCAGCTAGCAGGGCTTTGATGGTTCCCAGAGCCTCCTGGAATGGGGATGGAAGTTTAGGCTGCCCATGGTGCCAGAATTCTTGCTAACTTTGTACAGAACTGAATTAAGTTATTGTTTTTGTAATAAAAGATGTGACACTCTCAGAGCCTGATGCTGTAGTTTGTGCACATGGAAGGGGCCAGCCCAGCTCCAGGACCCAAGGGGAAGGAGCCACGAGGAGTACAGGAGCCAGCTCGGGCAGCTGCAGGATTGATTCATCACAGTGAGATGTTGAGTTCATTTCTGGGGGTAAAATTGACCTTACACCTGGTCTGACTCCAAGATATGGTATCAGTTCAAAATGTCATTACCTCCTTGCCTTTATCCTTGAAGGGAAGAGCTTTCTCTCCTTGTCCCCAAATCTTCCAAACTGGGTTCCCGCTGTCCACAGGGTCTCTCTCACCACTCAGGAACCTGCCTATTTCCAAGTTGAAACAGACAGAGTCACTGTGATTTCTGCAGTTTGGGAAGATTAGCTTCCCTTCATTTGTGCAGCTGACAGAAAGAATGGTCCATTGTTCTCCAGATGCAAGGATAGCCAGGGCCCGGGGCTGGTCTGGAAGCATCTAGGAAACTGAGGCAGACGGAGGTTGAGATGGTTCACAGCACCTGGTGACTCCTGTGGCCGAAGTCTGAAACACTTCCACGACAGTTTGTTCATAGCCACTGCCCTGAGCCCCCAAGTCCCCTCCCACCACTGTCTTTCTGCCCAGGCCCTGTCCTGGAACCTCCTCCTGGACATTCCCATCACCCAGCCACCAGGAGGCTGCCCTTGGCCTCTGGCAACAGCTGCGCTCCATTCAGAGAATGGCTTGGTCTGCTCTGATTGGTCCGTGTGTGCACATCCGTGCTTGCTAAATATTCTGACCCAGTTGCAGGATTACTGACCCCAGGATGGGCAGGAGGACATGATACAACACACATGCCTATAGGGCTCATGGGCTCTTCCTTTCTCCAGCAGTCAGGGCTGCACTGACTGGGCCCCACCCCTTGCCACCAGTTTGGATTCTTCTTCTAACAGGGGGCCAGGTTAATTATTGTTCAGTGAGAGGTCATTTTTTTCAAAGGGCAACAGTCTAGGAGCCATCATGCAGGCCCTTCTCTAAGGCCTCCAGTACATGCTAAACTGGCCATGTACCCAAGATAGCATGCAGTGCCAGGAGAAAAGACACGCCTGTCACCCAGTTTCCCACTCAGAAGCCCAAGAGAGCAGAAACAGATGTGCAACTTCTCTCTTCCTCTCCCTCCCTCTCCCTCTCTTTCCCTCTTCCTCTTCCTTTCCCTTTCCCTCTTCCCCCTCCCATTTCCTGTCTCTCTCTGTGTCTCTTGTGGGTGTGTGCGCGCACATACACTCATGTAACAGACCCTCCACCTCCATGTGGCACAGAAAAGTATAACCTGGATACACTCACTCAGCACTATGCAGCAGATCCAAACACACTCAGACTTATAGAACAGACCCAAGCCACACATTACAGCTCTGCCCCTAACGGTGGGGCATACAACACAGAGACACCCTCACACCAGGGCATGCACCTCCTCCTCCCTGTGTTACAGGTAAAGAGAAAAGTGGTCCTCTAAGTAGGCAGGCAGTGTCTACACATCTTCAGGGTCTATCCAGGGCTTGGAAATGCAGGACAAACTGTTTTGCCTCGCATCTACCTCGATTAGCCAATCGCCCCTCTCTCCAGGGTGACCCTGACATCCAACTGCCTCTCATTGGATCCCTCCAGCCAGGGCTCAATCAAAACCCTAAAGAGAAGCATTCTTTTTTTTTTTTTTTTTTTTTGTCTTTTTCTTTTTTATCCATACCGGGGATGGAACTCACAACCACACACTTGCAAGATAGGTGCTTATGCCACTGAGCTAAATCCCCAGCCAATAGAAGCATTCTTTAGAGCCCATAACAAACCCTGCACTCCCCCCCTCCAACTAGATGCCCCAATCCTGACCTCAGACAGGCCTCTTTCTAGTGTGCACCAGCCACCCTAACCCTGCCGAGAAGAGGTCTCAGAGGTCAGTTTTTTGTGTGTGATTTGGGATCTTTTATGTCTTTGCTTCTTCTTCAGTGATGGCCTCAGTTAGCTGAATCTTCAGGCTGTCTTCCTGCTTCTTACCTTCTCCAACGTCAGCAAAGCAGTAAGAGTACATACTCAGTCGGACACAGTGGTGCATACATACAATCGCAGCACTCAGGAGACTAAGGCAGAAACCTCACTGTGAGTTCAGGCCAGCCTGAACTGCACAGTGAAACCCTGTCTCAGAAAGACAAAAACCAAAACAAACAGAAAACAAAAACCAAACAAAGAAGAGCATGTCTTTCATGCCCCTCATCCCTGCTTTTCCCTTCAACTTTTTAACTTTTCCATCATCCAGATAGCTTGCTTTATTATTTCTATCTTGTTCTTTTCAAATTTCTTCCCTTTTTTGGGGGGTATGAACTTAAAGTCTTTGCATTAAGCTATGTTCCTACCCCTTTTTAATTTTTCTTTTTATTTTTTTGACACAGGGTCTCACTAGCTTGCTAAGATTGGGCTTTACCTTGCAATCCTCTTTCCGCAGTCTTCCAGTGTGATGGAATTTGTGATTATAGGTATACATCACCACATCTAGCTTTTTTTTAAAGACCAAGCTTGCCTTGAACTCACTGTGTAGCTCATAGTGTGCTCAAAATTGAGGTCTTCCTGTCTCAGCCTCCTGCATGCCAGGTTACACGTGTGCACCAGTGAGCACAGCCTCTGGTATTTAGTTATTTCTTGTGCTCTACCTCTAGGCCTGGTGCTAGGAACATAAATAACCATGACAAAACTAAAAAGACAATTATGATACAATGCAATAAGGATAATAACCCTTTTTCAGGGAACTTCAGGCTTTGCTAAGGGAAGGGACTGTGTCTCGGTCACTGGCATCCTGGGGTAGCACCTATGTTTCACTTCCAGGAAGGGAAAAGGAGGAAATAGGCCCAGATGAGGTCTGTGACTTGCTTGAGGTCTGGGCTGGTCACTGTCCATGCTGGCATTGAGTTCAGATCCTGTGACCTGTGTGATTTTCGGAGGCCAGGTGCTTTCCACCAGCACGGGCTGAGTGAGTCATGCTCAGGGTCAGCCTGTTTGGAGCCGGCTCAGCCACTGTTTCCTGACCATTTACTTCTCAACCAGGATCTCCGTCCTCCAGCCCAGCTCAGTGGAGAGCAAGAGAGTAGATGTGGCTGTGGCTCAGGCCAAGGTGCCCTTTTATTGCCATCATTACCTCTATCTTCAGTAGCCACATCACTGGCTGCTGATGAGGTCAGGCAGCTGTGGTGAGCCGACCCCTGCACTTTCCTGCTATGCCTTTAGGGCATTTGCATATCCTAAACCTATGACAATGACAAAAATGAACACTTATTATTTATCCATATTCTTTCTTTTTTTTTGTTTATCCATTTTCTTATTCCATCACTCAGCAACTCTTTTTGTTTGTTTGTTTGTTTTTTTTTGTCTTTTTCATTTTTATCAGTACCAGGGATCGAACTCACGACCGCCTGCTTGCAAGGCAGGTGCTTATGCCGCTGAGCTAAATCCCCAGCCCCTACTCAGCAACTCTTGACATTCACTTTTACCAAACCCTTTGCTAGATGCCCAGGATTGAAGAGAAAAAAAGAAAAAAAGGAACAGCTACTGCCCTCGTGCAACACCCTATCCAGGACGGAAGACATAGCTGACTGCGCAATGAGAAGTAGAAATGTGACTAAATCTATCACAGATGCAAAAAGGCTTTGCCCAAGTATTGGCTGCTTTAAGAATGAATAGGGGTTTGCAAAGACAGCGTTCCAGACAGAGGGACTGACAAATGCAAAAGTAAGGGCATGTCAGAGAGCACGGGGTGCACAATGCACATGGTCTAGCCCATCTGGGGCTCAGGGCAGCAAGCCATGGGCCTGAAGAGGCGGACAGGAACTGCACGACAGAACGAGACAGCACAGAAAGAAAACTCCAGTGACACTGGTGAAAAGGGTGAGATTAAAGTTAAGGTGCCAGGCAAATCAAGCTTAACAAAAGAAATATTGCTGCCCAGAGGAAAGCCCAGGCTATAGCATGTTTGAGTCAGGGATACAGCCAGGTGCAGTGGTGCACGCCTGTAATCCCAGCTACTCAGAAAGCTGAGGCAGCAGGATGAAAAGCTGGAGGACAATCTAGAGGGCATAGTAGAGCTTGTCTGGAAGTTCAGTGGGGGAAGATTGGGATCTGGATGGGAGTGTAGCTCAACAGTAGAACACTTGCCTAGCTGAGCCCCAGTGAGCAAAGCAAGAACAAAGAGCAGTGTTAGGGATGATCAACTGAAGAACAGATAACAATGAGATCCTTCTTCACACCATGATAAGATAAATAAGAGCAAAAATGAAGTAGTGTGTGTCTGTGTCTGTGTGTGTTACTGGTGGTCAAACCCAGGGGCATTCTACCACTGAGCTACATACCCAGCTCTTCATCCTCCTCCTCCTCCTCCTCCTCCTCCTCCTCTTTCTTCTCCTCCTTTTCTTTCTGAACTCAATGTCATATTTATTTTAACACTGTAGTAAAAAATGCTACTAAACAGAAAATGTAATAAAGTCAATAACTATCAAGTAAGTTGCTTTTTTGTAGCAAAGAAACAATCTATTTCTGGTAAATGGTTCTGTAGTTGTAGACCATGAGGATCCTTGAAATTAACCTCCCTCCTCCCCAAGAAAATAACCCCAAATTATCAAGGTGAAAGGCACATACCACTGCCCCAGCAGTTCAAGTTGTCTTTAGCATGTGAAGTTTTAATTGTGCTTGTGAGCTTGTTATCAATACAATGTGACTTTAGAAAGTATCATCCATGCATATGTATAATTTCTTTTCAAATCGGTTAATCCTCTTGCTTTTTTTCCTCTGGTTTTAATTTCCTGAAGATATTTTAATAGTGCTTTTTTTCCGTACTGGGGATTGAACTCACTACCTCACACTTGCCAGGCAGGTGCTTATGCTATGGTGCTTATGCTACTGAGCTAAATCCCAGCCCTAGGCTTTGTTTTATAAAAGATCTAGTTTATTAGAGTCTCAGAAACATGCATTTCACAGTTCGTGCGTTACTGAATCTAGAAACAAAGTCTGAGTTATCTTTATGTCATCACATAAAACAGACCTTGAAAAATAGCACTGGGACCGTGCTCTAATGCTATCTTTTCTTGGAATGCAAAAGTCCAGGGTTATTATCTTTTCTCACTGGTTATTTAAGGGTTACTTTGCTTCCAGAAGAGATACTTGGTAAACTGTTATGCATATGGCATCTGATAAAGTGCCCAACATATCAAATACCTGATCCTTGGTCCTCACCTTGCCTTTGGGATCTACCAGGAGAAGATGTACCCACCCTATAATCCACTCAGTACCCACTGGCCAGGGGATGTTGCATTCTCTCGAACCAAAAAGTCCCCATCCTTCAGCAGAAGGCTCTCCACCACCGCCTTCCTGCTCAGCTTGCCATGGTAGAGAGCTTCACTCCACAGCCGTTGCCTAATGTGTAGCAAAGTATGTAGGTTTAGGGCTGGGGATTTAGCTCAATAGCATAAATGCCTTCCTGACAAGTGCAAGGTCATAAATTCCATCCCTGGTACCAAAAAGCATACAAATAAAAACAAAAACAGTGACAAAAAAGAGGAATGCGATCTGGTGGGCTCATGCCCAGCTCTTCTTAAAAAATTTTTATTTTTTTAAAGAGTAAGAGCTATTGAGAGAGATAGTTCCTGAGAGGCAGGAGGGGACCAAAAGTTGGTTACCATAAAATGTTTTTGATTTTGAGACAGAATCTCACTAAATTGTCCTGCAAAGACCAAATTTGCAATTTACCTGCTTTAGCCTCCCTCAAGCGTGAACCACCATGCAGCTAAATATGAAGTCTTGGTTACCTTTAGGTTTAAATTATTGATAAGAAACAGGATTTGTGTATCCATCCAGGGAAGTGGCCCCTCTGACCTTGGAGGTAGACCCAGCCACAATCAGGGACCCGTTTCTACATCCATGCAGGGAATATTCATTCTATCAATGATTCACCAAGGCTGCTATGTATTGGGCACCATGATAGGGCCTAGAAATTTAGTTCCACAAATGGAACATGTGAATAAGTGTAAGCATATGACTTGGTTACCTAACAGTTTTTCTAGAGCACAAAATCTTTATTTTGGCTTTTGTTGTTGTTTGTTTTGGGGTTTTGTTTTCATTTTTGTTTTGAGACATAACCTCTCTCTATGTATTTTGGGCTGGCCTTGAGCTCACTATGTAGTCCTGGGTGACTTTGAACTCACAGCAATGCTCCTGCTTCAGCCTACCAAGCGCTGGAATTATTAATGGTATGCACCACCACACCCAGCTAAAGTTGTCGTTTTGAGACAAGGTCTCACTCTATAATTCAGGCTAGCTTTGAACTCACTATGTATCCCAGGCTGGTGATCTTCCTGCCTCAGACTCCCCAGTAATGGGATTACAGTTATGTGCTACCACACTTGGCTATTTTGGCTTTCTTCACTTGCTGCAGAGTACTTATATTTCAATTTCCAGATTTTTTTTTTTTTGGTACCATAGATCAAACTCATGACTTCGTGCTTACCAGGCAAGCACTTGAGCTGCGGAGCTAAATCCCCGCCTCTCAATTTCCTGATTTTTAAAAGATTGGTGTCGGGGCTGGGGATTTAGTTCAGTGACATAAGCACCTGCCTTGTTAGCAGGCAGTCGTGAATTTGATCCCTGGTACAGATAAAAACTTAAAAAAAAAAAAGATTAGTTTCAACTAAACCCTTTTTATATAAGACACAGAAAAGTAACAAGTTGCAACATCACAAAATGAATACATCTCCCTAACCATTACCCAGTTCAAGAAACAGAGCATTGGAGTTCTGAGGTAGTATAGTAGAAGCCACCACCAGCCTAGTGTATTAGTAACCTAGCTAACAGTTCCTGTTACAAGATCCTGTTACTTTTTTTTTTTTTTTTTGGTACCTGGGATTGAACTCATGACCTCACCCTGGCCAGGCAGGTGCTTATGCTGCTGAGCTAAATCCCTGGCCCCAAGAACCTTTTACTTTTATCTCCTAGAAACTGGCTAGTCACTGGACGCATAGCTGGTCCGTATGATGCATATTGTAAGAACCAATCAAAGACTGCCAAATACTCTGCCTCTATACTTCTTCACAACCAATCCCATAAAAACCTCCCTCCCTGATCCTTTGGGGCCTGATATTTTGGGCAGTACCTGACATAAGGATAGGAGAAATAAAAGATAGGTGGAAAAGAGAGAAAGAATCAGAATCAAATATTACAATTTTAAGAAATCTGCAACTTCAAGGAGCCAGCCAAAGTTGCCCAAGGTGATCAACATTCCTTCAGCTAGATATAGGCTCCTTCTACAGACTCCTCACACCTAAAACTCCTCAGGAACACTAAAGTCCATAAATTGGCTTAATTGAGAATGTAAAGAGCAGAAACCTGATTCTAAGATAAAAGAGCTGGTTGAGAAAATTCAAAAGTTTAAGTTACTTATTAAAAAACAAAACTTGATCAGTGTGGTGCACATATCAGGAGGATGACCTTGAGTTCAAGGCCAGCCTGAACTACACACTGAGACCCTGTCTCAACAAAACAAAACAAAACAAAACAAAACAGCCCTCATCTATAGAATGGCCTAGATCCCTTCTACGGGTGGCCACTTTCTCCCAGGGTTTCCACCCCTTCAAGAGAAGTATAAATGTTCCCTGTTCTAGGAAATAATGTCTCGTTTCTCTAAGCACCTGTTACTTTACTCCTGAGTGCACCCAAATGTCTCCCTGATAAATCCTTCCCTTGCCTGATGAGTCCTGAAAATTTTTTTTCCACAATGGGAGACAGTCAACTTGCAAACTTATTCTATCAAAGAGTGGGTTGGGTTATCCAGCCCCATGACAGCTGACAATGGTGGGCACACCTATGATTTCAGCACTGGGAGGCTGAGGCAGGAGGATCGCTAAAATTTCAAGGCCAGCCTGGGCTACATAATGAGTTCAAGGCCATTTTGTACTACGCAGTGAGCCCCTGTCTCCCAGGGGTTGGAAAAGCATTGAAGAGTTGGGTGTGGTAGATGTTCAGGAGACTATCAGCCTGGGTAATTTGGCAAGACCCTGTCTCAAGATGAAAAATAAATAACAAGGGGTAGGGCTGTAGCTCTGGGTCTCATCCCTAGAGTTGTATTTCTTCTTTTAAAGAGGAGGGTGGAGGGTGAAGTTCTTTCAGAGTGACCATGGCTAGAAAGAACTGGCTGTGAGGAAAACAGAATGGCCGAGGCGTGATGGGTCAGTTGGTTAGACAATGTTTTACCCTGAAGCCTGCCTATTCTTGGAAGGGATACTGAGGAGCAGTTGTGTGCTGGTTCAAACTGAGGATGGGCCAAAGTTCAGGGACCCCAGCGGGAGGGCAGAGGCTAAACCAAAGTTTAGTGAACAAGCATTTGTTTTGATTGATGGGGAGGGGGGAGAAGTTCATTTTATGAAGCAAAGAATTGGAATTTGGAATCTATGTCTGGCCTTGGGGGCCTGCAAGAGCCTTATCTAAAGTTGTATGGGGAAGCATGTTTCTCTGCAGTAAATGGTGTTCCAGAACACAAAGGCATGGGGGTGGAGTGAAATTTTTAACCTTTGCTGTGTTCCAGAATCACAGGGCTCAGGTCAAGTTCCATATTGTCATTACATCTTCTGGTAAACATGTACGAGAATTCCTTTACGATATCTGCTACAAATAGAATTGCTGGGTCAAAAGATACATGGCTTCACTTTTTGTTTTGCCTTATTTTTTTGTGTTAGGGATTGAACTCACAGCCTCACACTTGCCAGGCAGGCACTTTTGCTAATGAACTAAATCCCAGGCCATGGCTTCACTTTTACCAGTTACTTTTACCAGAAAACAGTATGTTTTCCAAAGTGGTTATTATCAATTTACTCCTCCAGTGGATTAGTTTCAGTTCCACGTGGTCACTGATACTAGTGAGTTTTAGTTTTGCCAATGTGTTGGATGTAAAGTGAGTTTAGTTGCTGAGATTATCTCATCTCACTATGCAACGTGGTGTTTCCTCTGCTCCAGTATAGCGATTGAATCCAGTGAATCTCTTCCTCCTTTCGTTCCCTGTTTTGTTTTGTTTTAAATCCTTCTGTCTCAGCCTTCCAGAGTACTGGTTCAGAACCAGGGCCAGCAGACCCACTTTTCTTTTTTGCTGTTGTTGTTGTTTTGGTCTTATTGATACAGGGTTTTGCCATACAGTTGGCCTTAAACTCACTCTGTAGCCCAGGCTGGCCTCAAACTCACAGTGATCCTTCTGCCTCGGCCTCCTAAGTGCTCGGATTACAGGCGTGCACCACCACACCCGGCAAGACTAAAGACTGGGAGAGCCACAACTAAGTATTTTAAAAATGACTTCTGTAGGCCTCTAACGGTATTTGAGCCTCATTAGAACCGTCTGAAAGAACCCTAGATTCCTATTCTTCAGGTGAATTTTTCTAACATTGCCGAGTGTGCGCTATGAGAAAAATATGGACAATTTTTCCAGGTCTTTGCTGACGACAGGTTCCACATCTGGATGAGTCTGACTGGTTATTAAATACTGCCTTTTAACTTCTCCAAGCAGATTCCCGTGATAGGATTAGGGTGCTCTCGCGAGAGTTTGGTTCCAGCCGATCATGTGACTACGCAAGATGGCGGTGCCCAGTGAGGCCGAGGAGGAGCGGGTAGTTTACCTGGTGGTGAGCGGCATCCCCTCTGTGTTGCGATCCGCTCAGCTAAGAAGCTACTTTAGCCAGTTCCGGGAACAGCGTAACGGAGGTTTCCTTTGTTTCCACTACCGGCATCGGCCGGAGCGGGTCCCTCCCCAGGCCGGTACCGACTCTGCTCTGACTTCGACCGACGCTGGCGATGAGAGTCAAGTTTTTACCCAGATTGCGGCTACCGATGCCCGCGCCGTTTCCACTGGAGACTCTGTTCCGGTCCAGACCCACACCCGCTGCTGTGTCATCTCGGTTCGGGGGTTGGCTCAAGCCCAGAAGTTTTTTCATATGTACTCAGGCCGCCGATGGCTGGATTCTCAGGGTACTTGGCTACCAGGTCGCTGTCTCATCCGTAGACTTAGGCTACCCACTGAGACATCAGGTAGGAGTTAAATGAAAATGGACGTGAGGCACGGGGAAGATAAGTCAGGCTTCTGGCTACGGCTCTTTTGGAGTTTAGATCACTTGTGGGCAGAGATTCAGGCTAACGTAGTACGCTAGTTTAACTCAGGGATTAAAAAAAAGAGAAAGGCATATTTGGCTAATCTTTCATTTCTCTTCTGGGAACTTTTTCTCTGAGAGGCGTTTTTTTTGTTTGTTTGTTTTTGTTTTTGTTTTTTAACTGACAGAAGGAAAAAAAGGAAATCAGATTTTCTAACTCAAACCAAAGTGAGCAGTAGAGAGACCAGCTTTTCCACAGAATGTATTCACGATTAATAGTGTTGTCTGGGATATGCGTGAACCATAGCAGGCAATAAGTGTATCCAGGGAAGTTAGAGAAGGTGTAGATTTTTAAAAAGCAAAATGAAGAAAATTAAATATAAAAAAAATTTTTTTGGAAACAGTATCACTGTATAATTCAGTCTGGCCTTGAACTCACTTATGTATCCTAGGCTGGCCTCAAACTCACAGCAATCCTCCTGCCTCAGCCTTCCAAGTGCTGCAAATACAGATGTGCACTACTACACCCAACTTAAATAAACTGTTTTGAAATGATTATCCTTGGCTACAAGAATCAGTAATTACAAGGATGGCGCCAGTTCAAGGTTGAATAGGCAGTTGCTAGATAGATGTCCTCATAGAAATATTTCTGTGCAAGGTTGTAGTTTTTGCAGAATCTTTTTTGATAGTGTTTTTTGTCAGTCAGATATGCATAAGGATCCTCCCTGCCTCTATTTTGTTAAGACTTGGCATAAATGACTCCATTTTGATTCTGACAACTCACAAATCTCTGAGTGTCTTTCTCTCTTGCACTTTCTTTGTGTTCCCCTCCCAGGTAATCTTTTTTCTTTGGACAACACCTATTTTCTTGGGAAATCATTTTGATGGAGAACCAGGAAGTACAGTTTATTGAAACAGGAAATACAGAGCCCTCCAGTTTTTCATTCAACAAATACTTATGTTGCTATACCTAGTGTGATGCTAGCTGGTATGCAGAGCACGGTTGGACACAGTGTGTGCTCAGAATCCACAAAGAAAGACAGATTAGGAAAAAGATAATTGTCACAGAGATGTCATTCTAATGGTTAATAACTACTGAGTATGGTCTGTGTATTGATGAGGTGCTGTTCTAGCCTTTCGTTTTCTTACTTTTGGGTTGTGAGTTAGGGTTTGAATGACAGGCACTGAATGACATCTCCAACCCTTTTTATTTTTAAATTTTGGAGCAAAAATTCACTGAGTTACCCAAGTTGGCCGTGGGACTTGATCCCTCTGCCTTAGTCTTCTGAGTGGCTGAGATTACAGGCATGTACTGCCATGGCAGCCACTTCTGGTAGGACAAGGTCTCACTGTGCTGCTTAGGCTGAGCCAGTCCTTCTGTCTCAGTTACTGCACTGGCCTAAATTATTGCATTTTTCTTTAAGGTGCTGAGAAGAAAAGCCAGGACCTCACACATGCTAAGCACTTACCCTACCACTGAGTCACACCTCTGACCTGTCATTTTGTTATCTCTCACCACAGTCCTATGAAATAAAGCTTATTGTTATTCCCATTTTATAGTAAGTTAAGAAATGCTTCTGTATGCGACATGCTCAGATTTACAGAGCCAGTAAGCATCAGAGCCACAGTACAAATTTAGCCATTCTGCTCTAGAGCCGTTTTGGTTTTTGTTTTGAGACAAAGTCTTGCTCTATAGGTCAGGCTGGCTTTGAACTCACCATTGTGTCCAGGCTGACCTTGTAGCAGTCTTCCTGCCTCCGACTCCCAAGTGCTAAGATTATAGGTGTATACTAAAAGAGTTTTGGCCCAGACAGGACACTGTAGCTAGTAAAGCCTCAGGGGGAACCAAGGAGCTCCATCTCCCCCACCCTTAGGAATTTTCCTATGGTGCCAAAAGAACACCAATGGGCCACCTGTACATCCCTAATGCCCCCTCAGGCCCCACCCCAAACCTAAGCTACATATATGCCCCCACTCCACATGTTCCACAGAGAGATGGTGGGGGATGCCATGCCCCAGGAGATAGGGGGTGTCTCTCCCTGCATTCTCAAAATAAAGGTCATTTATATTTCATACTTCTTATCTTTTCAGCCACCGCGGGTCCCCCACAGTTCTATCATATACCACCTCCCCTGTTTTATTGGAAGTTTTTTGGGTTTTTTTTGAGATGGAATCCCAGGTGTTTTCCAAGTGTGACTCAGACTCCTGAAGCCAAGTTTACCATCTTGCCTTAGCCTCTCAATCAGCTGAGGCTACAAGCACATGCCACTGTGCACTATTAGAGCCTGTAATGACAGGTGATGGAGGAGGAAGAAACTGACTTTCTAGAGATCTTGGGAAATGTGATTTTTATCTGGATATTGAAGAGTAAGAATTTATAGGAAAGAATATTATTCAAGTGCCTTTTACAAAGACAGAGATAAGAAATCTATGAAATTCTGGGCGTGGTGACACATCTGTAATCACAGCACTCAGGAGACTGAGGCCAGAGGAACGCATTGAGTTCCAGGTCAGCCTGGACTACATAGTGAGACCTTGTTACAAAATAAAAACAAAAACAGAAATCTTTGAAACTTTCAGGGTATGTTAAATATTTGGTGGGAGTGGAATACATGGTATCAGAGCTTGCAGTAGGTGGGATTGGTGACAGTTGAGAGCATGGAGCAAAGATGTGGCTGAGTAGCATAGCATGCACTGAACATGTGGGACACACTGGGCTCAATGCCCAGCGCTGCCCTCTGCCAAAAAGAGAAAAGTTAGCAGGAGCCAAACTTGGAAGAAAATTGAGGCTCAGCCAAAGTGATGAGAAATGGCATGAAATTGCTCAATGGTTTTATCAGGTAAGGAGGAAGGGACTTGGAGAAGTTTGAAAGGGAACTGTATTAGAGTAATGGATTTATACCTTGACTTATTTCTGGCTCAGTGTTGCTAGAGGCTTTGGGTTTCAAAATGCACTCTTCTTTGAGCAAGTAGACACCTGTCCCTCCATTCCCAAAGGCTGAGGCAAAAAGATCACAAGTTTAAGGCCAGCTTGGGCAACGTTGTGACACCCTGTTGGAAAAACTTAAAGGTGGGCAGTGGCTGGAGATGTAGCTCAGTGTGAAGGCCCTGGGTTCAAGCCCCAGTAACCAAACAAAATCCATTCTTCTCCCTCCTTCCCAAGGTTTGGATTCTTTTCCTTTTAAGACACGGAAGGAGCTTCAGAGTCGGAAGTCTGAGAATGAAGCCTTCACCCTGGCCGATCTAAGGCAGCTGCCAGAGCTGAACCCGCCAGTACAGATGCCCAATGGGAATGTGGGGACTCCCCTGCGGGTTTTTTTGGACTTGATCCGGGCCTGCCGCCTTCCCCCTCGAATCATCACCCAGCTGCAGCTCCAGTTCCCTAAGACAGGTTCCTCTCGGCGCTACGGCAATGTGCCCTTCCAGTATGAGGACTCAGAGACCGTGGAGCAGGAAGAGCATGTGTACACAGCAGAAGGCGAGGAAATACCCCAGGGAACCTGCCTGGTAGAGCCACTTGAGGACGAAGAGCTCAGGGAAGGAGAGGAAAAGGAGGAGGAGGAAGAGTCTCACTCAAGTGATGTGAGTACAGTGTGCTGCCCTGGGAACTTAGAGGCCTCATCATTAATGACACTTCTCTTGCATTATGGTTTTATTTGAGACAGAGTTTCACTATGCAGTCCAGACTGGCCTCGAACTCCTGGCGATCCTCCTGCCTCCTCTTCCAGGTGTTTGGATTATGAGCCTGAACCACCATCCCTGACTCCTTTCATTGTGTTGTATAAGCGTTCTTAACCTGGAATTCTCAGAAGGGTTCCAAGGCATGTGAAGACTCGCTGACTTTGAATGTAAAACTATATTTGTACGTGGATATATAGTATTCTTTTAAAGGAGAGGGTCCAGAGTTTTTATTAGGAGATTCTCAAGTTTGGGCCCATGTGTAGCAGTGTGTTCTCTTTAGCACTGAGAATTTAGACTGGTAAGATAGCTGTGGGCTCAGGTGTGAGGACTTTACTTGTAAGCCTCAGGAGGGTAAGGATTAAGCTGGGTGTGGTGGTACATGCCTGTAGTCCCAGTGTTTGAGAGGCTGAGGCAGAAGGATTGCCACAGGTTTGAGGTCATCTGGGCTACATAGTGAGTTCAAGGCCAGCCTGGATTACAGAGCAGGACCTTGTCTAAGCAAACAAACAAACAAAAAGTGAAAGGAGAGTTCTTTTTTCTTAAGTGAAACATAATGACCAAGAGATGTGCAGTAACTTGCCTTAGACCCTCCCTAGACCCTCCCAGGAGGTGGAGGTGGAGCTGGGACGGAACTCAGTTCCCTTGCTATTTCCCTCCCCTCTGCTTCCCTCTCAGGGCCGAGGGGTCACCTCTGCGCTCTGACCTTGAGTCAGTGGATCAGACATCAGCTTCTACTCTAACTTTAACAGCAAAGTAGATACTTCTTGGACTCCTTTCTCTGGACTTGGTTTACTCATCTTCAAAGCCACCTGAGATGGGAACTGTTAGGAAACCACTTTCATTTGGTTTTATATATACACTAGGTAAAAAGTAATGCTCCCATGTTTCAAAGCTCCCAGCCCAGTGTTGCTAGCATATTTTTGTTTTTGTTTTTGGGTTTTTGAGACAGGGCCTTACTATGTAGTTTAGGCTTTTTTTTTTTAAACTCACTATGTGACCTCACAGCAGTCTTCCTGCCTCAGCCTCTCGAGTGCTAGGATCGCAAGTGCATACCTCCATGTCCAGCATGCTATCACATCTTTAGTTTGGCTCCGTCCTGGCTTTTCTGTAGCATATATTCCACAGTAGTGATTCCTGTGGCCTCCTGGGGTTTAGCCGGGATGGGGTTCCTGGGGTTCAAGCCAGTAGTCCTAGCATTGCACAAGTCCAGTCAAACACTTGTAAGCCAAGGGCTAATACAGGATTCCAGAGGCATTCCGAGACCTGATTCATGTCCTCAGAAGGCCTAAAATCTCTCCAAAGGGAAGGAACCAGTATTGGGAGAGGATGTGTGGTGTAATGAGCGGGTCTGCATGCTGCTCTGCTACTTTCTTGGGAAAATCGTTTACTCCTTTGAATCTAAATTCCCTCGTCTGGAGAATCGGAAGAGTGATATTTATTTTACAGGGTCGTTGGACTGATTAAAGAAGCAGAGTTTAGGAAGGGCCCATGTGTAGCAGTGTGTTCTCATCAGCGCTGAGAATTCAGACTGACAAGAGGTCTGTGGAGTCAGGTGTGAGGACTTCATGGAGACTGTAGAACATGCAGGACAGGGAGATCTAACCAGAGGGAGAAGAGAAGGATATGGGAGAGGAGAGCACATGTTTCAGGCAAGGGAAACCTCATGGCCAGAAGCACAGAGGCTAAGAGTAAGTTGGACTTGTGGGAGGAATGAACTGTGTAGAGAAATGTCAGGGCGATGGAGAAGTGGGTTGCTCAGGCCTTCAAGGACCAAATCTTTGCTGCTTCTGGGGAGACCTGAAGGGTGGAACAGAGGCCCAGTCTTACAGTCCCCTTGCCCTAAATCCTTCTAGGCGTGAGGTCAGGAAGTGGACGGGTGGGTCACTTCTCCTTCCTGTTCCAGGATGACGACCGTTGTGAGGAGTGGGAGCGGCATGAGGCATTGCATGAAGATGTGACAGGCCAGGAGCGGACCACTGAGCGGCTCTTTGAGGAGGAGATCGAGCTGAAGTGGGAGAAGGGTGGCTCTGGCCTAGTGTTCTACACTGATGCCCAGTTCTGGCAGGAGGAAGAAGGAGGTGAGGCTGTGGTCAGCTTGCTGCCACTGTAACCAATGTGTAAGGTAAATCAACTCCTAGGGAGAGTGGTTTACTTCGACTCACAGTCAGTTGGGTCTATTTCTTCTGGGCTTGTAGTGAGGCAGCACATTGTGGGGAGAGTATGTGGTGCATGAAGCCCATTCACTTCCTCGCCAGGACACAAGGAGAAAAGGAGAAAAAGACCACGGTTCCACAGTCCCCTTCAAGGCGACACCCCTGATAACCTAAAACCTCCAACTGGTTCCCACCTTTAAAATTCTGTCACCACCCAGTAGCCCCCAGCTGGGGTCTGTGCCCTTAACACATGGGCTCTGGGGGAATGTTTAAAATCCAAATTACAGCAGGTGGTGAGGGCACCCGTGCAAGGGCAGAGATGATGTCTGTTGCATTTTCTTGGGGTTCTCTATTCCAGCTGGTGGATTCCCTGACAATGAACCCAAAGAGATGGGGAATAATTTACCTTTATTGCTTATGAGAGACCTGTCTTCCATCCCCAGTACAAAGAGAGAGAAAGAGAGAGAAAAAAGAGAGCACACTTTTCTGAGGGATAAACAGAATGGATAGAAAATGCCTCCTCCAACTCCAGTTGTGAATATCCTTCCCAGAAGAGAGATTTGAAAATACAAACAAAACCCCTAGCTTCTTCTGGACTATGTCTAACTCTAGCTTTAGCTCTCAGCAGAACTGAGAGTCCTTAACTCACTCTCCTGGATGTTTTTGTATCCCACAGACTTTGATGAGCAGACAGCTGATGACTGGGACGTGGACATGAGTGTGTACTACGATAAAGGTACTGGGCAAGGGGTGGTAGTACTTGGAGGTGTGAAACTGGTGCCCGGGCCCTGAAGTGACTGCCAGGCATGCTTAGCTAAGGCTGAGACAGGAGCTGGGCTTGGTCTGGTTCCCTTGAGGCAGGCCAGTGTACAGCCAGCCCTTGCTGTCCTTGTGGTGTTGATTCTAGGACCTAACATCAAAATCTGTAGGTCCCATATCTCTTCTATAAAATGGCATAGTACTTGAATATAACCTACACAGTTCTCCTGTAGACTTTATTTTTTGTCTTTTAAAATTTTATAAATTTTCATTTTATTTTATTTTTGGTTGTCTTTTTTTTGGTACCAGGGATTGAACTCACAACCTCGCATTTGCCAAGCAGGCACTTACACAGCTGAGCTAAATCCCCGGCCTTTCTTTTTGTCTTTTTTTTTTTTTTCGGTACTGGGGATCAAACTCAGTACTGCCTGCTTGCAAGGCAGGCGCTTATGCTGCTGAGCTAAATCCCCAGCCCCCTTTTTTGTCTTTTTGAGATAGGGTTTCGATATGCTGTTCAGGCTGGCCTTTGTAGCCTAGGCTGACCTCAAACTTGCAGCAGTCCTCCTGCCTCAGCCTCCCAAGTGCTGGGATTACAGGCATGTGCCACCAAGCCCAGCTCCTCATATGTTCTTTAAATCATCTCTTAAAACATCGTTTCTAGGTTACTTACAATTCTTACAGTGTAACAGATAAATAATTGTTATACTGTGTGTTTTGTTTTGTTTGAGACAGGGTCTCAGGTTAGCCTAGAACTTGTGATCTTTTGGCCTTAGCCTCCCCAATGCTTGGATTGTAGGCATGCACCACCAGTCCCAACCATTGCATTGTTTGGGGAATAATGATGAGGAAATGAAGTCTGTGTACGTTCAGTAGAGATGCAGTTTTTCTGGGTACTTGCAGTCCATGGCTGGTTGAATCCACAGATGCACAATCTGTAGACAGAGCCAAGTACTTGTCATCTGTAGTTGAGTATGCTGATTGCTGGTTTGGACAGAAGCTCTTTCTCTTTTTTGTGAGGAGGAAGGACACTGGGCAAGGTCTGCAGGGGGTTTGGATCTGATGGGCAGGCTCTGCAAGAGTGGGATGCTCGGGAGCTTGGTGAAAAGTTAGTTCAGGAGCCACAAAATAATCTGGGGCTGGGAGAGACCTGCGCTCTAATTTCATGTCTGTCATCTGTTGGGTCTGTAACTTTTCTGCACTATAATTTCCTCATCTGTAAGATGGAGAGAGCCTTGACTCCTACTCTCAGTAAACTCCTCATCCAGTGATAGAGATAATATAACAGGACACTGAAAATGAAACAATAGACCTTGTGAGTAGACCCTAGAAACCTGATCCCCTCCCTTATGCTGAGAGAGACTTCCACCACCTGGGCCTTCCTTCCCCAGATGGCGGAGACAAAGATGCCCGAGACTCGGTCCAAATGCGTCTGGAACAGAGGCTCCGTGATGGCCAGGAAGATGGCTCTGTGATTGAACACCAGGTGGGCACCTTTGAACGCTACACTAAGGTGAGTGAGCCCTGTGCCCAGCCCACTGATCCTTTCTTCCTTCTTTGCCTTCTTTTCTTCTCGTTCTCCCATCCCCTCCCATCTCGTCCCATCCCACTTCTTGAGTTGTCCTTTCTCTCTACAGGGCATTGGCCGGAAGGTGATGGAGAGGCAGGGCTGGGCTGAGGGCCAGGGCCTGGGCAGCAGATGCTCAGGGGTACCTGAGGCCCTGGATGGTGATGGCCAGCACCCCAGATGCAAGCGTGGATTGGGGTGAGTGTGGCTGTGGGAGTTTCCAGAAGCCTAAGCCAGCCTTTTATCTGTGTCCTGGTTTTCTTGTTTCATTGGCTTTGGGGTCAATGCTGGGTACTCCCAGAGAACAAACTTTAAAACAGAATTAGAAGGGAAAAGTGGATCTGATACTTTTGTCCTAGACTAAACCCTAAGGGATAACAGGGTCATTGACCGCCCAGTCATTCCCCCCAGTGTGATTTTGGACTTGATTGTTGTTAGGGAGTCTTATGCTGATAGAATGAAAGTTGTATCTGAAGTCCCTCATTGCTGACAATGGATAGATCAGAGATTTAAAGCTTTCCACCTTGGGTTTTTTTGTTTGGTTTTTGATGTAGGGTCTCACTAGCCCAAACTAACTTTGAACTCATGGTGACCCTCCTGTCTCAGCCTTAAAGCGTTCTATCTTGGGTCGGAAGTATGGTTCAGTGATACAGGGCTTGCCTAGCATCCATAAGGACCTGGGTTCAATCTCCAGCACTGCCAAAAAACAAAAACCCAACAATCTTTGAGACAAATCAGATATGAGTAGCTACTTCCCTGTCCTTTCCCAACCCCTTCACTAGAGTTTCGGAGAGTGCCCTCTTCATAGACCCCTTTTTATCCAGGTACCATGGAGAGAGGCTACAACCATTTGGGCAACTGAAAAGGCCCCGTGGAACTGGCTTGGGGCTCATCTCCACCATCTACGATGAACCCCTACCCCAGGATCAGGGGGAGTCACTCCTCCGACGCCAGCCACCCACCAGCATGAAGTTTCGGACAGACACGGCCTTTGTGAGGGGTTCCAGTTGGTCCTCCAGTCACCCCTCGGAACTTGAGTGAGGGCTGGGATTTCCCTAGCCAGGATCACACACAGCTGCAGGATGGCAGGCTTCTGGCCAGGCCCTGATCATTGCTGAAGCAAAAATGAATCTGGGAGCAGCAATCGGTGCGGGTTATTCATAGCACTTAGTTCAGAGCCTGCATATCAGTTCTCTACCTCAAGGACATTTTTCTAAAAAGCCGCCTTCTCCTCCCTTCCTTTCCCTTGGGTATAAAGACTTAATGACCTCTCCTGAGTCCTGGTTTGGGCTTGCCCTGGACTCGAAAAGCTGGGCCTGAGGTTAAGTAGCAGTTTTCCTTGGGCATCTGAAAGAAGTCGTTGTAAAAGCCAGATTGCGGGGAAAAGGATCGGAAGAGGAGAGAATCGAGGCACTGGTATGAGATGTGGGTGGGCCCTCTACTGCTTCCACCCTCACAGGCTGGGTCCCTGCCGTTGCTGGAGGTGACCCAAGGTCTGCAGCGTAGTACAGAATAAAAACTTTTATAGCAGCGCTCTGTTGTCTCTTGTAATTCGGGCCTGGAGGAAGACCGGAGGAACCTCAACTGCGGATGGGGGGTCCACCCAGGGCTTGTCCTGCGGAAGAGCGGCTGCATTTCTGCGCTCCGCCGCGTTACGTCCCTGGCGTGGGGGCGGGACTTCCTTTGCACGACCCGTCGTTTCCGACGCCGTCCGGAAGTGGGGAACCGATCCTGTGGGTACCGGGCTTTTCGGTCTGTAACCTGGCTCGTGTTCCTGCTGTTCCGCTTTAGGCGGTCTCCGGCACCGTATCAGCCCTATTGAATTGCAGCTGAGGCGTTCCTCGCCCTGGGTCTTGTCTCCTGGCTAGCCTGCCCGCCTGTTTTCCCACTTGGCTGTCAGCTCTGCGCCCGCCCGCGTTCTGCCCATGGCTGCGGCCGCTCCGGCCACAGCCTTCGGACAGGCGGTGATCGGTCCTCCTGGCTCAGGAAAGACCACGTACTGCCTGGGCATGAGTGAGTTCCTGCGCGCGCTGGGTCGGCGCGTGGCGGTGGTGAATCTGGACCCGGCCAACGAGGGGCTGCCATATGAATGCGCAGTGGACGTGAGTGAGCTGGTGGGGCTGGGCGACGTGATGGACGCGCTGCGGCTGGGGCCCAACGGTGGCCTGCTCTACTGCATGGAATACCTGGAAGCCAACCTGGACTGGCTGCGTGCCAAGCTCGACCCCCTCCGCGGACACTACTTCCTCTTTGATTGCCCCGGCCAGGTGGAACTCTGCACACATCACGGTGCCCTGCGGAACATCTTCTCTCAAATGGCTCGGTGGGACCTAAGGGTGCGTCTCGTGTCGGGTAGGCCCATTTTGCTGATGAAGCAAATGAGACAGAAAGGAGGACAGATGCCACGCCCCCATGCCACACAGCGAGGTAGGGGCTGAGTTGCTTTAAAGTAAGACAGTTATGAGTTTGAATTTTGGCTCTGCCGTTGACTCGCTGTGTGGTCTAGGCAAGTAATCTCTTTTGAATTTCGGTTTTCTAGTCTGTAAAATGGATGTGTTAGTACATAATATGGGATTTTTTTTTTTTTTTTTTTGTCTTTTTCGTTTTTATCGGTACCAGGGATCGAACTCACGACTGCCTGCTTGCAAGGCAGGTGCTTATGCCACTGAGCTAAATCCCCAGCCCCCAATATGGGATTTTTTGAAACACAGAAGAGGATATATGGCTAGTGGCAGGGCGATTATTAAATTGGCAGGCAAAAATAAGTGAAAGTTCAGAGACAGATGCAGTGGGACTTGTAGCTATTGCCCATTGGGAGGCTCAGTGCAAGGCATTTTTAAGAAAAAAAAAAAAAAAAAAAGCCGGGGTGTGGGGATTTAGCTCAGCAGCATAAGCGCCTGCCTTGCAAGCAGGCAGTCCTGAGTTCGATCCTCAGTACTGATAAAAAGGAAAAAGACCAAAAAAAAAAAAAAAAAAAGAAAAAAGAAAAAAACAGCCAATATATACCACCTTCCAATGATAAATGTATTCCTGTGTATTGCAGACATACAAATGAAAAATCTATCTTATCTATCTATATATATCTGTATATAAAATGCCCACATCTCCTAGGTGGACATGATGATGACTGTTAGAACAAAACAAAAGCAGAAAGACAGCATTTCAAAGGTTTATACTTACTGTGTGTCCTCAAGCCCCGAGTCTGATGTGAAAAACATAGCTTGATGGTCCCTGCTTCCTCTGGTCACTCTCACCCTCTCCTCCCCTCCTAGCTGACCGCTGTTCATCTTGTGGATTCTCACTACTGTACCGACCCAGGCAAATTCATTTCAGTACTGTGCACCTCCCTGGCCACCATGCTGCATGTGGAGCTGCCCCATGTCAACCTCCTTTCCAAGATGGACCTCATTGAGCACTATGGGAAGCTGGGTAAGAGCTCCTCTTTCCAGCAGGCAAGCAGGGCAGCATCTGGGCTAGAGTGAAGCACAGATCTCAGCTGAAGGAAGCTGCCTTTGAGACTGTGCATAGCCTTGTGATACTAGTACAAAAGTCCCAAATCCTGTTCTTTTATTTTGTGTGATTCTGTACTAAATACTATTACAGGTTTTGGAGACAAGCGACAGATGGTGATATGTGTTATAAAGGAAATAAAACAAGATAGGACAGTGAGTGGCTGGGGGTAAACAATGCCTCAGTGATCTGAGGCAGTGGCATCTGAACTGGCATCTGAATGGTAGCAAGGAGCCAGCTGAAGGCAGACTGTCCTAGGCAGAGGGTCCAGGCGAGATAAAGGTTTTGTCTTCAGTTCTTCGAGACAGAGTCTCATTGTGCAGTTCAGGTGGCCCTTGAACTCATTATGTAGTCCAGGCTGGTCTCAAACTCAGAGTCCTTCTAACTCAGCCTCCTAAGTGCTAGGATTACAGGTATACACCACCATGCCCAGCAAGGCTCTGTCTTTGTTTAGGTTGCCATAAAACAATATTATCAACTGGGTTGGGAGTTCCAAGATCAGGGCACTAGCTGATCTGAGGTGTGGTAACAACCTGTTCCTGGCTTGTACCCAGTTACTTTGAAGGCCATATTCTCCCACGGTAGAGACACTGGAGTCAGAACAGGCATAAAGTAGGGAAATGGAAAAGCAGGCTGGTATGAAGCAGGAGAATTGTCTGAACTCCCAGTGATCAGCAATTTTTCCCTGCAGACTTGGTGTTCTGCTGTGTGGAGGCATCTGTTGCTTAAATACAGTCTCCAGCTGTGAAGGAACCTAGAGAATAACAGCTAGATGGCCAGCACGTGCGCAGGGAGGGGATTGTTGATTAAGTGACACTTGTCCATGGAGGCTGGCCGGCAATCGGAACCTGGAGGGACGTCAATACCTCAGAGGAATGAACTTAGTGCAGGGTCCCTCCACTCACCTTAGGACACAATAGGGAGATTACTTTCCTTCTTTTAGTGTTATTCACAGAATTGAATCACATACCTCAAAACACCTATTCAGGCCTCCTCACTTTACAGTAAGAAGGAACCGACCCAGAAAGAGAACGTCATTCACCCGAGAGGTCCCACTACTAGGATGCAATTCAACTTGACCAGCATCTACAGAGTCTTAGTGTGCGGGGTGCTGGGCGTCGTACCAGCTGACTGTGAGCTTCCGGAGCCAAGGACTACGCACAGTTCTCAAGCCTGTTTGTTGTTATTTATTATTATTGCTCAAGCACTTCTCTGCATCAGACAGTGGAGTTTATGTCATTTAATCCTCAGAGCAGACGCATAAGGGGGGAGACCTGTCTGTATAGCTCATAAATGGCACAGCCAGCAGGGAAAACTAAATATTCTTAGTAATTTCATGTCCCTTTAGCAAATATTTGAATGAAGAAAGGTAAAGAAAAAAAGAAAACATGGCTCTCTTTTTCAGATGTTATTGTGGGTTTTTGTTGTTTCCGTCTGTGTGTCCGCAGTGCTGGGATTGAACCCAGGGCCTTGGGTACGCTAAGCACTTGCTCTACCGATGAGCTGCACCCTGAGTGTAGTCCTAACATGACACCAGCTACTCCTAAAGCCTGCTTTCTCTCCTTAGCCTTCAACCTGGACTACTACACAGAGGTCCTGGACCTTTCTTACCTGCTTGACCACCTGGCTTCTGACCCTTTCTTTCGCCACTACCGTCAGCTCAATGAGAAGCTGGTGCAGCTCATTGAAGACTACAGCCTGGTCTCATTTATCCCTCTGAACATACAGGTACTGAGTACTGCGAGACCCCTTCCCTTGGCTCTAGACTGTGGTATTCACCAGCCAATAGCACAGAAAGCTTTGAGAGCCTAACTGGTCTTAGTCCTGGGCATGACTGTCAGCAGGCCCCCTTGTTTTCTGGCCCTGGGACAGTTGTGGGCAGGATTACAGTAATGAGGGTGGACCAAACTTTTGCATATGAAAATGGAGGAGTCAAGAGAGTCATCACGAGTACCTTGACCAGAACCAGGGACAAATACATTAGGCCCATTCAGCTGGCAATGGTGTTGACTTTGTAAAGCCATCTCCTGTGCCTCTCGCCTTGTACCCCACAAAGATACCCTAGGAGACATGGGTGCATGTTAGGCTCCTTTCTGCAGGGGTGGACTTGAGCTAACTTGTATCTTCCCTTTCTGATGCCACTCTTCTCTCCTAAGTTGGTAGGATGGCATCTACAATAGGAGTAAACCCAGGGGACCAGGCATGTACAGAAAAGCTCAGTGCTCAATGTGAGTGGTTGACAGTCAGGAAAGATGGGACTTAGCCAGGCCTCTGGGGACATTTAGAGCTACACGAGACTAAGAAAACTCAGAGGCATCATGAGATGGGATCAAGAGGTGTATTTGGAGATTGTGGGCAGGTTCTGTTTCCCTCACCGAATTGTTTCTCCTCCCTGCTCAGGACAAAGACAGCATCCAGCGAGTCCTGCAGGCTGTGGATAAAGCCAACGGCTACTGTTTCGGGGTCCAGGAGCAGCGAAGCCTGGAGGCTATGATGTCAGCCGCAGTAGGAGCTGACTTCCATTTCTCCTCGTATCCTCACTCCCTAACTTCCCTCGCTGCCTAGCCACAGCCAGGAGGGTGAGACATAGGGACATAATGGCCACAGGAGGGGCAGTCACCACCCTGTGGGTGACTGGTGTCCTGCGGACCAGTTGGGCATGCTGGTGACTGTCTTTTTATGTGCCAAGACATCCTGTATAAGGCTGCAGGGTTGGCTGAACTCAGGGCGAGGGAAGATACTGACAGAAGAGCAGCAAACACAGAGGCCTAGCAGAGAAAAGACATTGTGTGCTCTGGGAGAAGGACAAGGGCTTCTGTTTGGTGGTGTGTTGTCTGTGGAGAGAGGAAAGGGAGAGGCTGAGGTGCGGGCAGGCAGGAGTGGGCAGGGAGGGGCTTAAGTGTTCATGGAGGAGTGTGGCTTCAGCTCACAGGCGGTCAGAGAAGCCAGTGTTCAGCCAGTGCTGTTGATGTGGGGTGTATGCGTGTGTGGGTGTGGGTGTGTATACGTGTGTGTGAGGGGGTTTGGCCTTTTATATTGCTGGTGCTGAGGCTTGAATCCAGGGCTTTGCACATACTGAGCAAGTAATCTACCATTCGGCTACATCCTCAGCCCCCAGCCCTTTTGTAGGCCAGGCTGACCTTCAACTCAAGATGATCCTGTTGCCTCAGCTTCCTGAGTACTAGAATAGCAGGCGTGCAGAACTATACTGGCCCACAGTGCCTGCGTGCCTGCCTGCCTGCCTGCCTGCCTGCCTGCCTGCCTGCCTGCCTGCCTGCCTTCCTTCCTTCCTTCCTTCCTTCCTTCCTTCCTTCCTTCCTTGATGTGTGGTACTGGATATTTAACCCATGTCCTTTGCACTGAGCTTTATCCCCTTCCCTGCCCATTTTTTATTTTGAGACAAAGTCTGGCTAATTTGCCCAGGCTGGGTTCAAGCTTACAATCCTAGTATCTTACACTCCCCAGTAGCTGGGGTTACAGGCACTCAGCACCTTGCTTGATTTAGGTATACATTTAAGAAAGCCTCACTCTAGGGCCAGGGATTTAGCTCAGTGGCATAAGGGCCTGCCTGGTAAGCACATGGTTGTGAGTTTGATCACCGGTATCCAAAAAAAATAAAAGAAAGCCCCACTAACTGCAAGCAAAGATGCGATGCGATGCGATTTAGATTTCTTTTTTTTTTTTTTTTTTTTCTTTATCTCAGGGATTGAACTCAAAATGCTGGGCATAAGAGTATGAGTATAGACAAAAATGATTTCAGCCAACATTTCCTGTGCTGTTTCAGGCCCTTCTACATGTGGGAAACAAAGCCCACAAGAACAAACAAGTTAGAAATTATGGCAGGAGAGCATGTGGTCCCTGATGGAAGGACGAGGAGTGACCACAGTCAGTGAGCTGTCACTGTTCCTTTGCTAGGATGATCTGGGTCTTCTATGTCCAATTTCCTATTGTTCCAAGAGAGACAGGCGGCACCTTAAGACCCAAGCAGAAATTTGTCATTTTCTGTGGCTCTTCCTAAGTCTTTACCATGGTAGAAAAAGAGAAGTGATTAGGCTCTTCATGGTCATTGTCTCATTTGTTTTTTTTTTTTCCCTCTTTCTCAAAAAGTCTCACTATGCAGTTCAGGCTGGCCTGGAGCTCACTTTGTAGCCCTGGCTGGTCTTGAACTTGCAATGATTCTTCTGCCTTAGCCTCCCAAATTCTGGGATTACAGGCATATGCCACCATGCCCAGCTCATTGTCTCATTTGATCCTTGTAATGATTTATATTTTACAGAGGAGAAAAGGAGTGGTAAAATAAGGTTCAAACCCCCTCTGTCTGGCCCCAGAATATGTGCCATAGTACAGAGCTGGCAAGTTAGTATGGGGGAGAAGAAAATACATTTGGGGCTCGATGCTTTGGTGGCTTCTCAAACCCAATGAGCCCCTCTTACCTGTGGCCTTATGCTACAGTTGGTCACAAGGGTGAGGGCCAGGAAGAGGTCACCAGATGTGGTTAGAGGGTGCATGTGAGTAGATACCAGACTGTGCCCAGGCCAATTCTCTGACCGTGCTGTTGACCTTGACGTGCCTGCCCTCAGCACACTGGGCATCCAGGAGAAGTACCTAGCACCCTCTGAGCAGTCGCTGGAACAGGAAGCCATGCAGCTGTAGCAGTGCCCTGGAGAGCAGGACCTGTAACCGGCGCCAGGAAACGTGGAGGCACCGGGTAAACAGCCGACAGGCAGCATACCCCAGGCCGAGTCCTCCCAGCAGCTCGAGGAGGCTGGAGAGGGGACACTCAGCTCTGCAAGGTCTCGGGTAGAAAACCAGACAGAGGGCAGAGCACCCACCACACCCTCTGTGGCTCTGGCCTACCACCAGGAGGCTGAGAGCCATCTCCACTGGGTTGAAGTACAAGAGATCACTGCCAACTTTTTGTGCCTTCCAAACTTTTCTTCAGTCCTCCAGGCCCAGGGCTTGGGACAGAAGAGAACGTCGCTGTCTATCTGGAAAGTCGTCTTTCTCCATCCTGGCCAGCGTTTCTTCAGGCACAGGCCCTGTCCTGCACTGACCTGTGGTGTTTTGTTAATATTCCGTTCTAACAGGAAGCATCCAGCTGAGTCTTCACAGGTAGCGTGTCCTGTCTGGACCGTATTGAATAATGTTTTGTTTTTATTGTATTTATTTCATGTATCCTGTTTCTAGCAAGGGTTAACTAGTCAAAGTTGATTAAAAGCTTACTTCAAAAATGAATTTATGCAAAATGAGTTGTCTAGAACTAGAGGAAAATATCGAATACTATAATTGTTGCAAGGATGTGAAAAAAGTAGGTAAAAACTGGGAAACGCTGCTCTGTTTTGGCTGTTTAGTTTGTGGGGAGTGCAGTTTATACTTTCAACCAGTAGGTGTCACCCCAAACTTACTTTTGCAGCTGTTACCTGAAGAATCTGCTGGCCTTGGCGAGGTTTTTCCCCCCAGGAGTCTTGTTTTAGGCTGTTAAGTCTTTTTTTTTCTTTTTCCTGCACTGGTCATTGAACATAAGGCCTTGCACAAGCTCGGCAAGCTCTCTAGCACTGACCTGTACCCCAGCCCTTTTCATTTTATTGAGGCGAGGTCTTGCCAAGTTGCCCAGCCTGCCCTCAAACTTGCACCCTTCCTGCCCGCAGCTCCGGCAGCAGGTGGAATTACGGGTGTGTTCTGCTGTGCCCAGTAGGCTTGGTATTTTACTGAGTGCTTCCACATTGTATCCTCTTGGGATTCCCACAGTGCCCTACAGAGCTAGAGAGGGCTGTCGCTAAACCATTACCATCTTCTGGGGAAGAAACAGAAAGATGAGGGTGCTGGACTTTGGCGTCCGGCTCCCAGGCCCCCTTTGCTGACTGAATTGTGTGTGCCCCTCATTTGGTGGCTTTACAGGTGAAAAGTTACAGTCTTCGGGCTGGAGATGTAGTTCAGTGATAGAGGGCTTAGCCAAGAAGGCAGGAGGAGCAAAGGTGGGGTGAATAGAAAGAAAGAGTAATTACACTCCTTCATTCCACAGATTTTTTTGAGACAAGGTCTTGCTATGTAGTGTAGGCTGTCCTTAAACTCACCATAGAGCCCAGGCTGGCCTTAAAGTCAAGCCTTAAACTTAAGCCTCAGCCTCCCGAGCACTGGGCTTACAGGTGTGCGCCACCACACGGGGTTTCCTGCACACCTTTTGTAGGACAAAGAGTTTAGATACCGAGAGGTGATTTATGACTCCTGAATCATAAACCAAGGGGAAGATAGGTCACTGGTGGCTTGGGCAGTTGGAGAATTCATTGGCAAATCCATTCTGAAATGGCATGAAAATAGGGCTGACTGATCCTCGTGTCCCCGTTTCGGCCATAGCTGAAGGCAGAAGAGTGAGGGGCTGTGGCTGGAGCGGTCTGAAAGCAGGCGGCCTCAGCTCCCACGCTGCCTGCAGAGAGCTAATAACCGGGTGCTGCCTCCCCAGCCTCTTTCATCTGAGGAGTTCAAAGAACCTCACCCCTATTAATACTCTGCCCAGTAGGTGGGGAGTACTCACAGAGCAAGCCAGGGAAACTGAGGCAGGAGGCACCGCCTAGGGCTGGCTGTGAGTCACCTGTGAGACCTGGAGCCCAGGAAGCCTGACGCCAGGGCTGCTGGACAAATCCTTCATTGGGCCCTGCGGGTGGGAGCTGCACTTTCCAAGCTGATCCCATAACTGTGGTCACGGGTGTGGTGCTCACCTGCCACAGAGGGCTGCACTCGCAGTGAGCCTGTGGCGGGCTACACGACGCAATTTCTAGCTTTACAGTCTCATTTGAAAGCACCCTCAACATTTATTAGAAATGAGTGGGAATAAAGCAGAAAGGCTTAAGGCCTTTATGTAACAGCAAGGCTGTTTTTTTCCTCAAAATTCAAAGTGGGCTTGTTTGTTTGTTCATTTTGAGACAGGGTCTCACCATGTGGCTCAGTCTGGCCTTGAATTCACCGTGATCCTCCTGATTTAGCCTCCTGAGTGCTGGGGCCACAGGCATGCACTACTGCATCAGTAGTTTATGATAGCAAAAAGATTTTCCACGCCCTCTGCATGAACTGAGGTGATGAGAAGGAGGAAATAGTGGCGGGAGGGCAGATGCCTGGCCACCCTGCCTTCCCCAGGTGAGGCAGGTTCAGGGCAATGTGCAGCGTGAGGGACAAGGAAAGCCCATCTCCCAGGAGGGCTGCCCACCTTAGATTGGGTTTTTTCTTGGTTAAAATGGAAAAGTAAAAGACATGGACAATGAAGAGAAAGTTAAGTCATCCACAATCCTGTAACAAATAATCATTAATATTAAAAACCTTTATAAAATCATTTTTTCAGTGCTGGGGGTCGAACCTAAGGCTTCACACAAACTACATTTTTTTTTTTTTTTTTTTTGGTCTTTTTCCTTTTTACCGGTACCAGGGATCGAACTCACGACTGCCTGCTTTCAAGGCAGGCGCTTATGCCGCTGAGCTAAACCCCCAGCCCCACAAACTACATTTTAATCCCCCACCTCTTTTTTTTTTTTCTTGGTACTGGGGATCAAACTCATGACCTCGGGCTTGCCAGCAGGCACTTATACCACTGAGCTAAATCCCCAGGCCCCCACCTCTTTTTTTTTTTTTTTTTTTTTTTGTATTTTTCCTTTTTTTTTAATTGGTACTGGGGATCGAACTCATGACTGTCTGCTTGCAAGGCAGGCACTTATGCCGCTGAGCTAAATCCCCAGGCCCCCCCCCCCTTTTTTTGAGACAAAATCTTGCTGAGTATTGTAACCCAGGCTGGCCTCAAACTCATCATTCTCCTGCTTCAGCCCTCCAGGTTGCTAGGATTATAAGCATGTGCCATCAGGCCTGACTATAAAAACTTTTTAATAAAAATATTTAGTGGTATAGCTAGAAACTTACCTGTCCAGGTTCCCATAGTTAGCCTAAAGGTCATTAGCAAGTGTCGACCACCACAAATAATGACTAACATCTCTGTACCTAAGTCTTTTTTTTTTTTTTTTTTTTTGTCTTTTTCTTTTTTTTATTGGTACCAGGAATCGAACTCACAACTGCCTGCTTGCAAGGCAGGCGCTTATGCCACTGAGCTAAATCCCCAGCCCCTGTACCTAAGTCTTGTCTGAGTCTTTTAACTTACAAAGTCCTAGAAATGAAATGACTACCGCTGTCCAGGTTCTCTAGCGGTATTACCAAAGCGCTGTCCAGAAGAGTGTCCCTTTACTTCTCACTGGTGGTGTCATCCTTCCTGGTCATCCCTGCTAACTCACCTTAGACTCCTCTTCCTTTCCTGGTGAGATGCCAGCCACAGGAAGATAGGACAGAACTGAAGAACCTACGTGTCATCGCAGATTCCCAGCCTGACGGAGAAGCTTAGGAGGGAGGGTAAAGCCCAGAGCCCAGGCAGATCAGTCTGCCTGAGTTAGCAAATGCTTGTGCACAGCTGACTAAGCACAGGAAGTCTGATCTCGTTAGGGTCTGTGGGAAGAACAGGAAGGTAGATTTGAGGGGTTTTTCTGTCCTTTCCCAAGAACCCCAACAGAAGGGAGCAGCTCCCAACGCATGCTAACACTAACATCTGTGCTGACAGCCTCTTCCCCTTCCTTTTGGTCTTGCCCCTGGCTACTGAGCCCCTTCCTGCTTATCTGGCCACCCAGCCCCTCTTTGCATCCTGTTCCGTAGAGAGAAGCCCAGACTGGCACACACTACTGTACATCAGGCCTGCCACCTCCAACCCACAGCCAGGGAGCTAACGCCCGGCAGCTCTGGAGCCCAGGTGTCCAGGTGCACTAAATTGAGGGGGTTGACGGATGGGCTACAGATTTGGGGCCCAACTGAGGTGGGAAAAGATGAGTGCTGGTAAAAATCAGCAAGATTTTAAATTTTGTCTTTCTTGTTCCAAAGCCGATGTGGAAGGAGATGAGAGACCTCTTGAAAGACTATCACCTCTAGTCCCAGTCGCATAGCTACTCAGGAAGCTGAGGCAGGGGGATCAGTCGAACCCAAGGGTTCAGGGGTAGCCTGGACACCACAGTGAGATCTCGTCCGGAACAGCAGGTACAGGGCATGGTAACACATGCCTGTAATCCCAGCACTCAGATACTAAGGCCGGAGGACCTCAAATTCAAGCCAGCCTGGACATAGTGAGACCTCAAAAAGAGAAAAAGAAATACCCTCTAGCACTTTCCTTCGCCTTGGATTATCATCTCTAAAGCTCTTCCAGTGCTCTAATTCTGGAGCCTCCATATTACTCTGGAGTCACAGAAACAGCCAAGAAGGGAGACTGGCTATGAGTGAGGATTCCTCCCGATTTGTAAATTATGCCTTTTGAGATAAAGTCTGTCCCCTCTATATTCAGATAAGACTTCAGATTAGTTTTAGTCTGCAAGAGAAAATGGATCTGATTTTCTTCCTCTTCTCTCCTCCTCTTTCTTATATCTTTCTCTTCAACAAATACCTGCTCACAGATTTAAATGCTGTACCTGCTCACAGATTTGCAGTCCTGCTTTGGAGATCCCTCTTATCTCTAGACAGAGTTCAATTTCCCAGAGCTATAAAGAGAAGACTGGGCAGAGATAAGAGTGAGTCAGCCTCCGATGCCCCAGGCTGACATGCCTGTCTGCTCCCTCACAGGCATTGCTGGCTTGGACTTTGGAGGGGGGCATCTGGTGTGGGGGCGTGGGCCACCCTGCAGAACCCACCTTCCTTGCCCCACATAAAGCAGGAATGGGGACAGTAGGCTCTGGACAGGCTGAGGAATTTAAAGGAACAAAGGACAGAACTGGGTGAGAGAAAGTTAAGTTTGGTGAGTAAGCCAGAAGTCTGCCCACTTCACAGTTAAGGCATGAAGCCTCTGGAGTTAGACAGAGTAGTGCTGAAAGGCTTTTTTGAGTCTCGGGAAGTCCAAAACGGGAGTGCTGAAGACGGCACTCCGCGGTTCTTCTCAAACTTTCTTTACTTTTATCTTTCCTTTCCTTTCCTCTTTTTCTTTTCTCTCTCTCTCTTGGTCCCTTACTCCTTCCTTCCTTGAGACAGTGTCTCACTACACAGTTCAGGCTGGCCTCAAACTTGTGACATTTCTCCTGCCTCAGCCTCCCGAGTGCTGGGAATGCAGCCTGTGCTGCCACACCAGCTGGCACACAGACGGTTGTGTCTTGGTTTTGAGGTTATTTTGCAGCCTGAGCCTCAGTTTTCTGATACGCAAAACAGTACTCTGTATTGCTGTGGGAATTAAGATGAAACTGTCTGGCAGGTATTGGTCATGTCAGCTGCTGTTATTGTTCCACTTTGATCTGGGGGTGGTGCTGTTGATGAGAAGAGCATTCTTGGTGCAAGTCTGAGGTCAGGTTTTCCTGGAAAGGCTTGGGAGGTCATCAGGACACTGGACATGTGTGTGTGGCGGCGACGCAGAGGAGCACCTTGCTTTCTGGAAGGAGTCACAGTGGCCTCCTTGACCCCAATGCTTTGGCTCCCTAAGGAGCCTGGTTGGTGCATAAGGTTGTCTTGACACTAACACCTGCAGCTGTGGCACTGCATAGCCAGTTAGGACTTGCCCTCAGCCATAACTATATATAAGAGAAAGGAAGAATTTTAGGTTGCAGTCTTCCCTGTTCGGGTGTTCCTCACACCCCCCACACACACACACATACACTGATTGGCCCCAGCTGTGCACTTAGCTGTACCTTTGGGGCAGCCCTTTTCTGTTTCTCATTTTGAGAGTCACTAAATTTTCCAGGCTGGGGTTGAATTTGCCATCTTTCTGCCTCAGCCTCCCAGAGTGCTGTCATCATAGGTGTGCACCACCTTGCCTGGCACCTCTAGGATTATTGGGAGGAAAACATCTTCACAGGTCCTGGGACTGTTCCCTGGAGATAATCTGACAGTGTAGAGAGGACAGGGCTGGGGTCACATGTGTCTCTGTCAGTGTGGTCTCCAGGCAGCTCTTCCTCATCTCCAGGATCAGCCATTTCTCCATTTCTATAAAAAAGGTTTTGGCTCTAACCTGGTGGCCATACTTTTGGAAGGATGGTTTTAAATCCAAGATCTGGGCATCCTGTAGTACAAACCTTGCCAAAATCATTGTAGGAAGAAAGGAGGCATAATGGGACAAAGTCACCATTATAGAGAACTCTGAGAGAAATAAACCCAGAACATGGCTCCAAATCCAGAGGTAAAATTACGTAGCTAGAAAATTGTAACTAAATAAACACACCTTACATAAATGGAGGACTAAGCCAGCACGTCCTAGGTTCTATGTATGTGTTAAAGAAAGGGTGCCTTGACAAGTTTTGACCTAACTAGCTTTGAAATTTGGAAGAGATTAAAAGAATATGATCAAGTGGAAGGGATGAATGGCCACGATAAAATTTCCTTCTTTCTTGCTTTGCCTTCTGGGTCAGGTGTGTGTGCTAGGTAAGAGCTCTACCGCTAAGCTACACTCCCAGCCTGGAGACAGAGTTTTGTTTTTTTTTTTTGTTTGTTTGTTTTTTGTCTTTTTCCTTTTTATCGGTACCAGGGATTGAACTCATGACTGCCTGCTTGCAAGGCAGGCGCTTATGCCACTGAGCTAAATCCCCAGCCCCTGAGACAGAGTTTTTAAAATAGAGGTACAATTTACATATGCTTATGGTGTGCAGTTCGGCTTATATTAACCAAATTATGCAGCTGTCCACACTATTTTGTTTCACCATCCCAAAGAAACCCTGTACCCATTAGCCGTAGAACTGAAATTTTGAAAGGTCATCTCTAGACCAGAAAAAGATGTTTACTGCGAGTTTTGTTTCTCTCTCTCTCTTTCTGAGACAGGATTCCCATTATGTAGTCCAGGCTGGTCTTGAATTCAGAGTGATCCTCCTGCCTCATGCTGTCCCAAATGCTGGGATTATAGGTGGTATGTACTACACCTGAGTGTTTTGCTTTTTAATGTCACAGACAAAAAAAGTCTGAGACCATTGTAATCAGAAACCGGTGCCTAAATCAGCTCAGATGTAGCCCTAACAGACATCTGATTTGATGATCTTCAGCTCACAGTGGCTGTTTTTGAAATCCTTCAAGATCAACACACCACCTAGCGTAGCTCATTTCTTTCCATATTAGTACTATCTTGAATGGTCTGGAGGCAACAGATTGGAGCCAGTGGCTGAGAGAAAAGAAGGAAGTTCTTTTCCCAAGACCTACCTCATATTAAGAGAAAGTCACCAGACCTGTCTGGTGAGAGAAACCAGGTCTCATCCAGAGCTGTCAGGAGTCACCTGCCCTGGCCCAGAGAGTCAGGAAATGAGGGGAGAAAAGGGAACCTGAAAGGCATTAAAGGGTCCCTGTAGCCTCCCCCATAGAATTAGGAGCTGTGGCCGAGGGTGGTGGGGCGCTTGGTTTAGCTCAGCAGTTAAGTGCCTGTTTGGCCAACACGAAGTCCTGAGTTCAATCCCTGGTACAAAAAAACAACAACAAAAAAAAAAACCCCAAAAAACCAAGAATTAGGAGCTGTGACTTGAGCCTTTCAGTTGTGGATTCCATGGATGTGGCCAAAGTCAGCCCCGATGAAGCTGGACCGAGTTCCATGTCTGGCAATGAGTCTGCTCCTCGGTGCTGGGCCTGGCAGATTATTCTGCTTTGGACACAGAAATGCTAGATAAACTCTGGACCTCCTGATGCTGAAAGGACTAATAGCTAACATGCATTGGGCATGTACCATGGTTGTGCCATAGGCGTGTCTTTTCTCCAACTTCACAAAAACTCCAAAAGGGAGGTAGCGTTTCAACCCTCCACCTCACCCAGCCTCCCGAGTACGCCCCAAAGGCGAGCAGGGCTGAGCCTCCCGCAGGGCGGCATGCACCCAGGTGCTTTCTCGCCAAACCTGAAGTCTTCGCTCTAGGAAATAGGCCCAGGTATACATGGCTTTTCCAAGATTGCACAGACAGCGCGGGACACAATCCAAGCCTGCCGTTCATGCGGCCAGGGCTGCCTCTAAGAGCGGCGTCCTGGTGGCGTTTTCCTAGCCGACCCTACCTCCACCCCCCACCCGCTCGCAAGACCCAGGCACTGCTGAACTAGGGATGACTCAAAGGGCGAGGACTGAGGGGGCCGAGCTCTTGGAGCGGACGGGCGACAACTTGCTAGAGTGAAACCAGAAGAGCGCCGCCCCCTGGAGTCAGCGAACAGCTGAAACACCGCTCAGCCCGCCAGCCCGGCGCTGCTTCTGCCGGGCAAAGGTGGCCGCGGGAATCCTCGTTGCGTGCGCGTGGCTATTCACTGTCCCATTGGCTAAGTAGGCCTTGGGGGCGGTACTCCGAGCAAGTCCCTGCTGTGGTTGGGCAATAGCGATCCCAGGCCCCGCCTTTAGCTCCGCGCTGTGAAGGTGAGACTGAATGTTGCTGCTGGGGCTGAAGCCGTGGGTCCCGGCGTGTTGCAACCTGCTGCAAGTCGAGGATGTAGGCTAGGTCGGCCGGGCTCCCCGCGGCTCTTCCCACCCACCTTGCGCCTGTTCCCCGTCAGCCCATTTCCCTTTATTCCCACCCCACGGTCTAAAAGCTGGGTGGAGCTACTTCTTGCTTTAAGTCTGGGGTCCTCCGGGCATTCGCTGCAGCGTGTGTGTCCCGAGGTCTCCCCTGCGGGCCACCAGGCTAGCAACAAAGGAGGATAGGGCCTTAACTTTGAGGTCCTAAGTCAGCCTCTAAATCATACATCAGTCCCGCTCCCAGCCCAAGGCCAATAAGTGGAAAAGCCAGGAGTGTCACAGCGGAACTTTATTGAGAGGAACATGGTCACACCCAACAGATGCACTTTCACTCACTCTCACACACTCACACGCATGCGCACGCACACACCCTTCTCCAGCCTCTGCCGCACAGTCCAGTTCTCAGCCACAGCCACGGGTGGGACGCTTCTTGATTCCTAAGATCCAGAGGCAGCAGGGGCCAGAGGGTGGCGCGGGGTGGGGAAGTGGCTCGGGTCAGGAGTAGCGTGGGGTAGGAAGAAGGGGCGCCAGGAGCAGAGGTGGATGGGGTGTCCCGCTGCTGGTGCGTGAAGAGTGGTTCCTGGGCACGGTGGCCTCAGCGCAGCTGCGTCCCCGGAGGAGCCTTTGTGGGCTGGGGCGGTGCACTCAAAAAGGTCTGGGAAGGGCCGGGCCTCCCACCCCGTACAAGTCCTCTGGGCGGCTGGGGACTGGAGCGGGCAGGGCTGGGCAGGCAGCAGCAGCAGGCAGGCTCAGCTCTGGGGCTCCTCGGGAGCTTCGCCGCCCTCTTCCCCGGCGTTGTCGGCTGTCCACAGCGACAGGTTATCTCTCAGCAGCTGCATAATGAGGGTGCTGTCTTTGTAGGAGTCCTCGCTGAGTGTGTGCAGGTCAGCCATGGCCTCGTCGAAAGTGGTTTTGGCCAGCGAGATGGCCTCCTCAGGGCTGTTGGCGATCTCATAGTGGAAGACAGAAAAGTTTAGGGCTAGGCCCAGGCGGATGGGGTTGGTGGGTGGCATCTCCTTCTTGCTGATGTCCATGGCCTCCTGGTAGGCTGCCCGGGCAGAGTCGATGATGCGCTTCTTGTCGTCTCCGGTGGCCACCTCGGCCAGGTAGCGGTAGTAGTCGCCTTTCATCTTCAGGTAGAAGACCCGGCACTCGGCCTCCCCAGCCTCCTTGATGAGGTGGGAGTCCAGGAGGCCCAGGACCGTGTCGCACACGCCCCGGAGCTCCGACTCCACCTTCTCGCGGTACTCTCGGACCTCAGGGCCTTTCTCCTCCGAGCCCTCCTCATTGCTTTTCTGCTCAATGCTGGACAGGACCCTCCAAGCAGCCCTCTGGCCGCCCACCACGTTCTTGTAGGCCACGGAGAGAAGGTTTCGCTCTTCGCAGGAGAGGTCCTCACCCTTCTCCACAGCGCCCTTCATGAAGGCTGCCATGTCCTCATAGCGCTCGGCCTGCTCTGCCAACTTGGCCTTCTGGATCAGACTGGCTCTCTCCATGGCTCTGGGGACAGAAGGTCGGGCGTCAGGCTAACCTGCTGCCAAGGGACCAATGCCGGGTTCTGTGCCTCTCCTGCACTCAGCCTGCCTTTTGGCTGAATAGCCTGGCCCAGACAAGGGTGGGGAGAGGCAGGGGCGGGACTGAGACCCAAGACCTGCCTCCTTCTCTCCTCCTCTCCCCACACCCTTTCCGGCTCTTCCTTAAAGGTAAAAGGGCGGGGATGTGAAGGTGAGTGAGTCATCTGGACAGTCAGCTAGGGAAACTGGGTGTGGTCTCCGCCTTCCGAGCTCCCGGCTGCCCCCTGCTGTTCAGGGCTGCATTGCGCCAGGCCCAAATTAGGAAGCTGCCAGGCCCTAGAGGGTGGGGTTCTTAATCCTGCCAGGTATGTTACTCTCTTGGTGCAGGTGAGATAACTCATATGTAGGCAGGGCTGCAGTTCCCAAGCACTTTCTCAGCCGTGATCTCACTTAATCCCCATGATGTCTCACAGACTGGAGAGGTGAGAACACTGTCTCAGAAAGGGGTGAGATTCGCTCAATGTCACGCAGCTATCTGCTCCCTGCACCCTGCTTTCTTTGATGTTTCTACCATGGAGGCCTCTGACCCATGAGCACCGTCTCTAGAGGTTGGATTCGGTCTTCTTCCCGAGTCTCCCTGAAGACACACTGGCTTCCTCCCTTGCTCCACGCTCTCCCTCTGACCCCTGAGAATGCACAGGTGGCAGCTTTCAAGGTGCCACTTAATGAAGTGTTTAACAAGCGGCCTCTAACGCTCCAGCCCTTTTGTAATTAGTCACCTGGTAGGTTTGCCGGACACCTTCCCCATCACAGCAGGATCTGCCCTTTCAAGTTGGTGGCCTGTTGCCACTTGTCTGAAGATGCAGCCTCTGACTCTCCACACCAGGTCACCTGCCCTCTTCAAGCTGCCTGCCATGAAGTGTCAGTGGGGGCTCCCAGAGGGTGAGGCTCCAGCTCCTTGGCTGCTCCACTTTCCAGTCTGACTCAGACTGCCCTTGGTCACAGGTGGAAAGCAGGCCACCTGGGTGCTCAGTCCAGTTTGGTCTCCCCCAGGGGGGACGCTAGCAACCTGGGGAGAGAGATAGGACTGAGGAAGGAGGCTGCAGTGACACATAGCATTTCTTTTTATGGGGTGGCAATTCCAGCTGAGTGAGGTCTTCCCCAGCCAGGCTTCTAGAAGTTTCCCTGTCCCTTCTCTTTGACTGTGGCCTCAACTCTGGCCTCTGACAGAGGCCTTAGAGGTGGATGCCTCCCTTGCCAACCATCTGTCCCTGCTAGCAGGGGTCCCTGTCTACAAGTTTCACCAAAAGCATCACTGACTGTTGGCACCAAGCCTTGGAGGGTAGGTGCCTTCTTAGTAGCCCCGCTCCCAGCAAAAGCTCAGATGGGGCTCAGGATGGGGCTTCTGTGGACTCCAGCCAGTCCAAATTTTGAGTCCAACTCTCCCCAGGTTCCTGAATACCTGGACACCTTTGGAGAGGAGCTTGACCCAGGACTCAAAGGACTAAAGGTGAAAACTGTCTCTTTGCCACAAGGAAAGGTAGGAGCAAGTCTGGGCTAATCCAAGAGGTTTCCCAGGAAGAAGAGGAATATTAGATCTGATTCCCTGAAGCTTTGCTCGAATAGGAGCTTTGACATGGGAAACAATGGAAAAGACTACTAAATTACCAACTCATAAGGGACATCTTTATTTTCTTTTTAGTTTTTATTTTTTTAAGGCAGGGGGTCTTACTGTGTAGTCCAGGCTGGCCTCAAACTTGTGGCTGATCCTCTTGCCTCAGCCTCCTAAGGGCTGGGATTACAGGCATGTGCCACCATGCCTGGCTGAGTGGTATCTTTAGGTAGACTACATAACTTTTTTTTGTCTTTTTTTGATGGTACTTGGGACCTGGGGATGGAACCCACTGTGCTACAATATTTCACACTGTGCTGCATCCCTGATCCTTTTTTTTTTTTTTTTTATTTGAGACAAGATCTCAATAACTTGCTAATTGCCCACACTGCATATGAACTCACTGTTCTCATGCCTAAGGTTCCCAGAGTGCTGGAATTGTGGCATGGGCCACCATGTACTGACACTTTTTAAAAATTTTTTTTATTCTCCCCAAATTATTAATGGTGAATGTTATTTTTCTATGAGAGACAGAATAGCCTGGTTTTTTTTTTTTTTTTTTTTGTCTTTTTCCTTTTTATCGGTACCAGGGATCGAACTCACAACTGCCTGCTTGCAAGGCAGGCTCTTATGCCGCTGAGCTAAATCCCCAGCCCCCAAGCCTGGTATTTTTGAAATCAAGACTGCCCAAGTTGAATTCTTACAAACTGTTGTGGCCAAGTGACCACCTTTCCAAGCCTCAGTCCCTGTACTTATAAAATGAAACATGTAAGGATTAAATAAGTGAACAGAAACACTTAGTAGAGTGGGTGGTAATGATTAGACTGTAAAAACCAGCCAACTTTACTATTATAAACATATATAAAGATATACTGAGCTGGTACTTGGGAGGCTGAGACAGGAGAATTGTTTGCAAGTTCAAGACCAGCCTGGGCTACAAAGTGAGCCCACAGCCAGCCTGGACTGCATAGCGAGACTGAGACCCTGTCTCAAAAGACCAAAAAACAAAACAAAACCCTAAAAACTGGGTTGGGGAATAGCTCAGCAGCACAGCACCTGCCTGGCAAGCATGAGGTCATTTCAATTCCTGGTACCAAAAAAGAAATACTAACACAGAGGTGGGTTCTATGAAATGAGAGGTCCCAAGAAAAGTTTTAGCTGAAGGTCCCAAGGGAAGTTTAAGCTGAAGACCAGATGCTGCCCAGCTGAGTGTCCAGGGGACAGAAGTGGTAGTTTGCCCTCTGCAGACATGGTCAGATGGCTCAGTGCTGCCTCCTCCCTTGCTGTGCTGGAGATTTCTCTGCTGTCTGCAGGCCCCAAGCCCTCAAGGAAGTTCCTTTGCAGGAATTATCCAGTCTGAGCCTCCCCAAGTCCTGGGGGGAAACATGGAGGAAGCTGGCAGGGCTAGGAATTTTGGAGCTTCTTTTAAATTCAAGGAGGAGGCATTCTCTTCCTACCTCTTCAGCCAGGTTCCTGGTAGTGAGTGGTTCACAGCACAGGTTCTAGGTCCTCTGCACACCTTGAGCCTCTTTACCCTTTCTTTTTTGCTGAAGCTCAAGGTAGAATCTGGAAGCCAGGCTGCCTCACCCTCTCTTGCTGGCTCTGGCCTGCTGATCCTGACTCAGTTCCTGTCTGTTACCTCCTTTTGCCTCCAGGCCTCTATTTCTCAAGTCAAGGAGCACAGGCAGACAGGAGGCAGCAGGCCCCGGCAGGGCTTAGCGCTCTATCAGCTGCCTGAGTCAGCAGGACAGCGGCTGAGGCTGCAGCCCGAGTGGGCTTTCCCCATCCTGCCTGCCCCTCTTTACTCTTCTGGAGCATCCGTCTAGTGGCAGCTCACGGCCCTGGGCCATACATACTCAACTACTCCTTCCTCGGCTTGTAGCAGCAGGCTTTGAAGGGCTCTGGGGCAGCGAAATCAGTTGCTGTCTACCTCTACTGGGAACAACACAGGGCAAGGGCTCTAGTTAATTCAGAAAGAGCTTCATAAGAAATCCCTTTGTTGCCAAGGATTTAGCTCAGCAGCATAAGCACCTGCCTGGCAAGCATGAGGTGGTGAGTTCGATCCCCATTACCAAAAAAAAAAAAAAAAAATATCCCTTTGTCTCCTCAGTTCAAAATAAAGAAGTAACTACAAGAGGCTCTGGCACCTTTTCCTCCTGGTTAGTTGTAAGAGACCAGTTATACAGCTGAGAGCTTTCTCTACCAGTTGCCTTTGGGAGGGATGCTAAATTACTTTTAAGTGATTCAGCTATTCAGAGTCTTTCTCCTCAAGGCACTGCTGTGCAGGGCAGCCCACATCTCCTGAACCAGTCCGGTCTGGGAGATAGTGGGGAATTTATGCAAAGACAATGGAATGAGGTCAGGGTGTGGGACTGCATTCCACCTCTGTTATAAGGCCCTGGGCAGGCCCCTTCCTGCCCCCAGGTTCAGCTTCCCAGATCTTGGAGGCTGCCTCGTAGTCATCTCTAAGCTCCCCCCTACTGCATGTGATACAAGGGCTTCTCAAGATCCAGTGCTCCCACGCCGTACTCATTCCTCGGCAGAGCAGAAGGGGCAGAAATCAGGTTGCCCTGCCCGGCTGAGTGACTCTGGCCAGCTCCTGAATCTTCCCCAAGCCTCAGTTCCCTCTTCTGTAGAAGGGCCATCACCTTCCTCTTGGGTGAAGGTGAGAAAATGCACCTGGTAAGCCCTTGCCCAGTGGCGGCAGTGATTGGTTCTCAGATCAGAGAGCAGTGTGCATGGCAGCTGGCAAGCGACAAGCTGCCATGGAGGCTGTGACCCTGGGCTGGGCTCGGTTCAGGGATGTGAGCCGCAGGCTAGAGTTAACCTGTTGGTCTTGGCCTGGGCTGAGGCCTTTCAGAGTCAGGTCAGCTAAGGCTTGAAGAGCCTGCGATGGAGACAGGTATCCTGAAGGGACACAGCTAGACCACTGGTCGCTGCCCCCATGTCCTTCCCGGTTTTGTGGTTTTGTTGTCTCCTGTAAACTGACCAGTGGGAACAAGGCTGGAATCAAGGCAAAGCGTGATCGGCACACCCGCTGCAGGCCCATCCACAGACCCCAAGTCAAAGCGGCACCAGTCAAGGGTTTGGCAAGAAGAAAGGAATCTTTATTCTGGTTATAAAAGGTATAGGACAGCAGACAAGCAGCCCCCAGCCCTGGGCTTAGCTGATTTTCTAGGGCCTGGCTGGTTTCCTTTAGGTGCTCTGAAGAACATGGTACCTGGAGCAGAGGATGTGGTCCCCCCTTGCATCCTACCTACTGGGGTGAACAGAGGGGAGGGCCGTGAGAACAATGTCAAGCTGGTTGTGCTTTGAACAGCCACCAAACTTGTTCAGCAGCGTCATGAACACCCCAGGCAGCTCCAGAAGAAACCTGCTCTGCTTGACTGTGGCTATGCCAGAATTTGATGATGATGGAGGTGGGGGGGCTCTAAAACGAGATTCTCAGTCTCCTCACTAATCTGGGGGGAGGGGAGGAGGAGGAGTTTCAGCATAGTATCACAGCATTGTGCTGGCGCTGGATATGGCTTTCTGCACTCTGGCCGGCACAGAGTGGGAAGCAATAAGGCCAGCCCCTGCCCCCATGGGGGGGCCCAGAGAGCACACGGGTAGGGCAGGCTGGGGGGCAGACTCTGTAGGCACAGATGGTGGCAGACGGGCCACAGGTTAGGCAGATGGAGGTGCCAGGTGCCTGGCTCCCCCCAGGCCACTCCTGGAGAGGCAGAGAGCAGCGGTCCTCAGGAGGTCCTTAAGCCCTCGCACACACTGGAGATCCCAGGCAGGACAGCAAAGGAGGAGAAGAGAGAGGGTTAGTGGGATGCATGGCGGGGTGGCCTGCAGGGGCGTGGGGTGGGGACAGGCTGCCACAGCACCTGCCTCTCCCCCAGAGAAGGGCAACAGGCAATGAGGCAGGACAGAAAACAGGCAGGTGAAACAAAACTTAGCAAGAACAGAAAGCCAGGACGCAGGAGTGTTAGTGACCAAGGGCCCCTGCACACCAGGATACCACCAGAACAGGCCCAGGCACCTCAGAGCGGCCTCACCCTTCACCTCCTCTCCCAGTGGGTCAGCCGCCCTATGAGAACTATGGACTGAGCCATTTCCTCAGTCCATCCCCACCTGGGAGAGCCCTGGGGACCTTCCGCCACCAGCACACACACCACACCACACACTGGACAGATGGAGGAACCCCACGGGGAGGGCGAGGCATGCGATGAGGATGAGATGGTGTGTGAGGGCAGTGGCAGTGCTGGCCGACAGGAGAGTGTGGTCTTACCAGCTAACCCTCTGCAAAGGGGCCTGTTAGCTCCCCTCAGGCTGTGCAGGAGATGGCAAAATCCTGACAGGTGTCCTCCTGGGGGAGATACCAGAGAGGTGGGCCCGTGTTACGAGGTGTCTGGCTGGGCCCCACTGCCCGGGTGGGGCGGGTAGTGGTTACAGAGGCTCTGGCTGCCACTGGGATCTATGGTCTCAGACTCAGCTGAGCACTCACCGGGGACTGGGGAAAAGGCAGCTGGGAAAATTCAGGGGTCCCAAGCCCGAGGCAGGAGAAGGTGGAGGGGACGAAGAGGGGACAGGATGGCTCAGCCAGGAGCCCCTTCTCTCTCCCTCCAGGAGACAGTGCTCCAGGCGGGCATGGGGGTTCCAGCTGCCTGTCTTCTGTCTCCCGAGGAAATAAACACGGGCCTGTCTCAGAGAACAGGGCCTGTTGGGTCTGTCGGGGTCTCAGCAAAGAAAAAGCAAACAAAAACCAAACCAAAGCAAATCAACACTTAAAAACAAAAGTTTTATTACAAGCAGGATCAAAGAGCACTGGCTTAAATAAAAGGTAGGTGGGGGCCCCCTAGCTAGCTTCCTCCCCAGCTCCCAGGGCACCAAGGATGGCTCAGGGCTCTGAGGCGGGGTGGAGCTCTTTCTCCCTGGGGACCCAGTGGTCTCTGGAGCAAGAAAGGGTGAGACTCATCGTTGTCCTATGTCCCTTTCAGCCCACCTGAAGTTCCAAGAGGGGTTAGATGGAGAAGGCTCCATTTAGATAAGATAGAACAGCTCCCAGCTGCGAGCGGACCTTCACTTGCCTCTGGCTGCCCCTCAGCTTCCTTCCTCTGACTTTGGTGAAACCCCTCAGTTGCCAGAAACACTGTCCTTTAGACCCCGGCACTGGGTCACGCTCAGAGCTCAGAGTCGGGGGCTGGGGGTGGTTGTGGCTTGTAGGACAGCAGCCGCTCCCCAGTGCCATCACTCCTCCCACCACTCCCCGCCTCTGCCTGTCTGGGCAGGTCCCTGCTGGAAGCCTAACCTGGGGGCTGGGTGGCAGAAGGTGGTGACAGAGTCCCCGGCTACTGGCTATCTGAGGTCCATGGAGGAAGGAAAGATAAGAGGATGGGGGACTGAGCCCTAATGGGAGCCCCAGGGTGTCTTATGACTAATGTACATGTTCCCTGTCTCCATGGCTCAGGCTATTCCTGACCCCAACAGTGATGGTGGAAGGGGGCAGCCCAGGGGAAGTGGGAGCCAGCCACGTTCATACAGGGACACACGTGAACAAACACACACCGAACACTCACAGCCAGAAAGTGTCTTGTAATAAACTTAGTATATCCAACTAGCCTTCGGATAACCCCCGCCTGGCATTACACACACAGCGACATGGCTAACTTCTTGTTCCTTTTTTTTTTCTTTTTGATATTTATATTTCTTGAGACTTCTTGTTCCTTTTTAAAAAAGGTTATGTAAAAAAGAGGTCTATAAAATTGTGCAAAATACCCAGCATTAATAAACCCGTTTCAAGTATTGCCAGCAGGAGCATAACTTGCCCATGCTCAGAGAGAAGGAACAGGCCAGGATCCTTTGTGGAGCCTCCATGGGCAGAGGTGGGTGAGGCCCCTTCCCACTGTGCTGCTTGGGACCCTGGGAGCGGAGGTTCTGGATGCCTGGCTGGCTGCTTTGCCTTCCTCAGACCCAAGCTGTGCCCCCTAACCTAGCTCTGTCTGTCCTGCTGGCCAACTTCATACAAAACCCTCAAACCCATCAAAAAAACCCAACAGAAGAAAGAACAATGATCATTACAGAGAGAAAGCAGATACTCGCAAGCCAAAGCAGCCTCGAGACTTCTCTCCTGGGCCTGTGGTCCACAGCCAGCTGAGCAGTTCTATCTCACTGACACCTCTGGGTCAGCAAGACCCAGATGTTGCCCCAGCAGGAGGCCTGGCACTCAGGTCGTACCCTCACGCACACAGGGCTCACCCTGGCACAGGCAGACACTTGGCATGTCCCCTTGGTGGCCTCCAGAGGCTCTGGCTGTCCTGTCCCTTCTGCCTCTGATGAGTGCCCAGAGGGACCTAGGACCCAAGGCTGTGGGAACCTGGGTGTGGGGCACAGAGGGTACAGCCATGGAACCATTCAGGGAAAGCCACGCAGGGAGGGAAATAAATACGAAGATTTCAGTCTTTGGCAGCCTTGCCTCCCTGGGATGGACTGGGGAGGGTCCCAGCAGGCGTGGAGGACGGCAGGTGAGTTCAGAGGGGCAGACAGGCCAGCAGGTGGCAAGCACTGGGCCGCACTCAGGGGTGGCCTCCTACCAGGCTGGCATCTGGCTTGGCTTCACAGGCTGGTTCATCGCTTCTGATGGGCGAGGGCAACACGGTGTCAGACTGCACAAATCCTCTCCGATCAATGAGACTTCCAAAACACAAGGACAGGGACATATGAGGGATGTGGCTAGTGCTAAAGCTCCAGGCCAGGGGCTGGAGGGCAGAATCCAGTTCCTGGCCAGGGAAAGACTCAGTCCCAGAAAGGCTGAAGAGGGGGAGCCACCCTCCACCTGTGGGCCCAAGTCCCTCCCTTCTGTAAGAGCTCTCTCTACCTGTTGGGCACCTGGCTGTCTATCTGCTAAGAAGCCAGGATGCAGGTGATAAGAAAAGCAGGGATGACCAGGCACTTCAGGTTAGTGAGATTCCCACAGCACTGCTTCAGGCAGGACAGGTAAATGGAATTCTAGCCGGGAGGTCCTGCCCCAAAGTGCCAACAGGCACTGCAACTTCTGTACTGGAGCTCTGGCACCCCCTGGTGTTAGGACAGAGGCTGCTTCCTGGCAGGGCTGAGCCATGGGTTCCCTTTCACCAGTAAAGTTTGGACACCTCACCCAGTGGCAGCAGGAGGGGCCTTGTGGCTCAACTGTGACCACAAGAGTCACTACGGTTATCCCTAGGGAGTAGGACCATATGTGGAATCTAGTACATATTAATATTTGTACATAATTTTTCTTTCTTTTTGGTACTAGGGATTAAACCCAGTGCCTTTGTGCTGAGCTACATTTCCAGCCCTTCCTTTGAGACAGGTTTTCCATAGGTTGCTAAATTGCTCAGGCTGGGCTTGAACTCAGAATCCTCTTGCATTAGCCTGTGAGGCAGCCGGGTTTACAGACACAGTGGTGCAACATGCCTGGCTTGTACTTAACTTTTTGCTACAAGGAGCACATATGACTAAAAATGACAAGCTGCCATCCAATTCCTTTACTTGACAAACACTAAATGCATGTAACAGGTGATGGCAGAAAGGGGGTGTCCATGGCACAGGAAAGGTCTGCTGAGGTCCAGAACCTCCTTGAAGGGAGCTGACTCACAGGGCCACCTCTCAAGGTAACCTCTTCGCTGAGCACCATCCCCACCAGCTTACCTGGGAGGTAAAGGGCCACAGAGCACAGCACAGCAGTTGGTGATAATACTTTTATGGCTGTAGGGGTTGACAGAGGCTTCACCTCCCCTCTTGCTGGACCATGAGCCTTTGATCTACAAACAGGAAGGAGGCTTGGGTCACCTACCTTTATTTTATTTTTTTGAACATGGTGCTAGGGATTGAACCAGGGCCCTATGCATGCTGGGCACGCACTCTACCACTGAGCAGCACCCAGCCCTGCTACTTCCTTCTGCTTTGTTGTCTAAGAGGGAGAAAGATGCAGAAAGCTGGCCAATTCTGAAACCAGTTCTAATTAGACTGTGGAAGGGGTATGTCTTTAACCTAGGCCTTCCAGTAATGGTATGGGGGACTGCTTGATGTAAGAGGGTTCCTAAACATGATTAGGATGCCCCAGCCAGGAGAGAAGACAGTAAAACCAAGGAGAAGCTCCCAGAGGATAGTTTGTGGGTGACCCCTCCCTCCACTGGCTAGCTACCACAGAGAGAGGGTGGAACTGGGGTCACAGGGCTGAGGCTGACTTGGCTGGGAACCCTGGCCCCAGCGCACACTAGCTCCATTCTCCTGGACAGAGCATCCGACTCTGTCCTCTTCTGAAAAATGAGGCAGTAATACTAGTTCTCGGAGAGCACTGTTGGAGCATTAGGTGATAGCTCACCCCTCTCTAGCTCTGTGAAGTCAGCTACTGAAGGAACTGAGGGGGTGAATAGTAAAGAAGCCAACTGACTGCTACCCAGAGTTCTCTACTTACTGGACCATGATGCCCCTTTTTGCTCGAGCTCTATAATATCCTGCAGTCAGCACCCTGGAAACCTCTCTGGGGGATGCTGGCTGTTGTCTTTTTTGCTCTCCCCAATCACCGGGTACTTGCTACCCTGTGGTGTGTGCGGAGTTTTGTTTCTGTTTGAAGGGCTGAGGTCATAGGATGTATTTTGTACTGGATGATGGGTCCCTCTGATCATCCTCAGATGTCAGGCCAGGGAACATATGCTTCTATTTGCTTTTTATTGTTTGGAGGGTGGGAGAGGTCAAGTCTGGCCCAGGTGCTCAAACAACCTCTAGTGGTGGTGGTCTGCAGGGAATAAGTTGGGAGGCTCAATGGAGCCCCACTGTACAGTCCTGGCTATACCCCTCAATCAGGACGCCCAGGGAGTCCTAGTCACAGCTCTGTTGCCTCCAGGTGCAGGGTGGTGGAGCAGAAACAACACGTCCATGAGTTCTAGGTGCCAGGCCTGGCTCTGCCCCTTCCCAACTCTATGACCCTGAGGCACATCTTTGAATCATGCAGTGAAGAAAAAGCTTCTCTGTTCCTCTGCCCAGGTTTGGCAAAAGGACCCAAGGAAATGACAGGAACTGGAAAAAGTCCATAAGCAGTAAATGTACTAGCCAGACCCAAGTGCTGTGGCTTGAGTGTTGCCTTATGGGGCTGTGAGGAAAGCAATGTGGGGCCTTAGGAGCCCGCACTGAGGGATGGGGCATGCAGGGACCTCAGGGTATGTAGGTCTGGGCCCTGGGAGACACCTGGCTGCCTTGGCCTCCAGTCAGCTTCCCCCAGCAGAACCCCGGGCAGGACTGCACTTAGCCACCCAGGCTCCCGTGGCCCAGTGCTAGTCATACTCACATCTTCATTAGTTGTCAGGTTGGAAGCGACGAGGTAAGTGTGAAACCCTGAGAGGCCCAGGATGGACCAGATGGAGAAGAAGCATATCACCAACTCCAGCACAGTGGGCCAGTCAAGGACACACGTGGAGATGCAGGCCTAGGAGCTCACTAAGCCCATCCTTTCTCATCTGGCCTTCCCTGGAGCCACTTCCCAAGGAGGGGACACAGTCTGGGACCTTCCTATGGCCCAGTCATGACTTCTCAACAGGATTACCTCCTGGGTCCTCAGGAGGGGTTAAGAGTCTCCTAAAGAGCAAGACAAAACTGGATGACAGCTGGCAAAGGGAAGCGAGGATTCCAAACACAGGGCTTGGAGCACGACATGGTCCAGGAAGCATGGTATCTTAAGGGACATGCTCTCTTCTAGGACCCTCAAGACAAGGACAGTGCCTTCCAAGAGTCCTCAGACAGCCAGGTCCATGATGCCCCATTTGGGATGGGCTCCAGCCTGGGCACAAACAGAAGCAGTTGTACACTGGAGTTCAGAGGTCAGATAAGGACTCAAGCAGTCCCCCGGGGGACCCACCCAGTGAAGGCACCTTGGTTCCCACAAGGGTTTTCCCTCACTGGCAAAGGATATCTTGCTGGTGTCTCCTTTAGAGTAGAGAGGAAGGTGCTTCCCTGAGAGCCTGGAGAGGAAGAGACAACAGAGGACACAGCTCAGAGGGGTGGTGACCCCAGACCCTTACCTGGCCCGGCTCACTGGCCACTACCCCTCCTGCTTCTCTGTGCTGTCCCAACTCACGCAGTGTCAGGTGGGTGACCACACAGGCAAAGATGAAGGCCGTAAGGAAGGAGAGGGAGAGGATGAACGCGTAGAAGAAGCGGTAGTTCCGCCTCCCCACACAGTTGCCCACCCAGGGACAGTGATGGTCAAAGCGTTCTGGAAAAGGGAAAGGGGCAACAGGTTAGTGAGGTCTGGCCTGCCACACAGGAGTTCAGAGGCTTCACCCCTCAGCTGGGGCTCGCCTGCCCTCTCACTGTCTCTGCCCCGCTGACTCCAGGCCGCTGGCCATGCCCTGTTTGTGGTCCCTTGTGCCTCAGTTCCCTCCCGCCTGACATGTTCTCCGTCTCTTGCTGGGGAACAGTAACTCCTCCTTCATGTCTCAGCTACAAAGCCACTTCCTTAAAAAGTCCCCTCTGGCCCAGACAAAAGAAGAGTCTTGGTATCTGCCCTGTCACTCCTTTTTTGCAGCTCATTGCCCATGTGGGTTTTCGCACTTATTTATGAAGGTAAGAGGCCAACTGCCCCACGAGGGGGACTGTGGGGACCTTACACCGTGCTGACTCTCCAGCACCCTATTTGAAGACCAACAGAAAGTACCTGTCTGACCTACTACTCCAGCCGTACGCCATCAGCCAATGACCTGTTCCTTGCTCTAAGACTAGGATTAGAGGCCCAGGGAGGGGTTAGGCCACTACAGAGAGACAGCCTCAGAGGCCAAGGCTGAGCTCACGCCAGCTGTATGTCCTCAGGGGTAGAAAGTCCCTGTGGGAATGTGGGTCACAAGCCTGATGCAAGCCTCATGCCAAGGCCAGCACCCTTGCAGGAGGCGGGTGGGGCAGACGCTCAGGGATGAATGACACCCACTGAGTCACCACTTCATCACTGCCTGCCGTCATGGGTGGCTCCCCACTACCTTCTTGCTTAGGGCATGCTGAGCTGGCAAGATGAGGTCACTGCCCTGGGAACTGTGCACTGTCACCATGGCTCAGCTCCCCCAGGTCTTTGCACAGCGTCTGCCTTATGATACTTCACAGAAGAGCCACCCCAGATCACCATCAGGGCTGAGTGGCCTCTAGAGAGCATTGCAGCGTGGGTCAGGCAGGCTTCAAGTCCCGGTTACATCCTCTCCACTACACTAGCTCTGGACTCACTAGCTCTGGTCCTGCCCCAACCCTGCAAACCAGATCAAGGCTGCAGAGCTGGGTGCTAAACCTTTCTCAGGCCCAAACATATCTGGGATGCTACCACTCCAGTGTCTTCCAGGGACTTGGACCTGAGGTCCAGGCTAACATGGAGGAGTGTCTGAGGGTTCTGTGTGTCCACTGTGCACTTCAGAGCTGGAGGAGAGGAACTAGCCATTCCTGGGCTGAAGCCAAGATGTCGCTGTTCACACTAACACCTTTCTCCTGGCAGGACAAATGTGGGTGAACTGGACCTGCTGCCCAACCCTGGATATTTCAGATACTGTGCATCTTGCCCTACATGTGACCTCTTGTCCCCGTGACTCTCTCTCAGGGATCCCCACAGGCCGCCCACTCACCCACACAGTTGTCACAGACGCTGCAATGTGAGGTCCGGGGTGGCCGAAACATCTTGCAGGTGAAGCAGTACTTTAACTTTACCATCTGCCCGTTGATCATTACCTCCTTTGTTCTAGGGGGTGGCCGGTATGTGGAACTTCCTGTGTTGTCTGAGGGCAAGAAGAGAGAAAGGTGTGGGGAGCCCAACGCAGCTCAGTGCAAGGAGCTCTGGCCAGAAGAAGACTCAGGGAAAGGTACGCAAAAGTAGCCAGACATGGCAGTACATGCCTGTAATCCTAGCCCTCAGGAGACTGAGGCCGGAGGATTGCTGCAAGTTCAAGGCCAGCCTGAACTACCTAGTGAGACTCTGTTTCAATCCCAACCCCACCACAACCAAAGAAAGTGCCAAGTAACATGCACAGGAGTCACTGTCCTTGGAATAAAGTGGGGATGAATCTTAAGAGCTACCAGGAACTGAAGTTTCCTATGTGTCAGGCACTGTAATACAAGTTTACATTGCTGCTCACATACCTGCTGGCCTTAGCCAACTCCGAAAAGGGCCATCAGAAGTGGAGGCCCCAGGAAGACTTAGTGAGGTGCAGGTATAGCCAGCCAAGGCTACACCTAAGCTCTAAGTTACAGAACATGCAGGCCATGAAGGAGCAAAGTGAACAGCCCCATGAGGAAACAATCAGACCTGGAGCCCATGACACCTAGCACGACAGCAGACTTACTTCGTTTTTTTTTTTTTTTTTTTTTTTTTGTCTTTTTCATTTTTGTCGGTACCAGGGATCGAACTCACGACCGCCTGCTTGCAAGGCAGGTGCTTATGCCACTGAGCTAATCCCCAGCCCCCAGACTTACTTCTTATTCAAAGCCAATGTCACTTATAAAAGAGAAAAGAGCCAGCTGTGGTGGCACAAACCTATAGTCCCAGCTACTCAGGCAGATGACAAGTTCAAGACCACCGTGAGCAATTTATGAGTTTGTGTCAAAATTTAAAAAGAAGGGGGAGGGCCTGGTAGAGGTAGAGCCTCTACCTTAGAGGTAGAGCCTTGTCCATGCACTAGGCCACGGGTTCAATCCTCAGCACCACAAGCAGGCGGGCAGGCAGGTGGGCAGTTACACACACACACACACACAGGAAAGATACAACATCCCCCTGCTTCACTGGGGATAGAATCCAGGGGCTTCACTTTGAGCTATAACCTCAATCCTCTTTTTTTTTTTTTTAGACAGGTCTTGCTATGTAGTTTAGCCTGGCTTGGATCACTTTGTAGCCCAGGTTGGCCTTGAATTTATGGCAATCCTCCTGAGTACTGGGATTACAGGTGTGTGCCACCACACTTAGCTGTAGGCTGGTCCCAGGCTTGCCTCAAAATCCATGCAATCTTCTGAGTGCTGGGATTATAGGCATGAGCCACCACACCCGGCCATGGTGATCTTCTTGCCTCAGTCTCCTAAGTGCTAGGATTACCACCACCAAGCCCAGCTTGTAAATAAACATATATATGGTATCAATTAAATACACTATTAACATTTAGGGAATTTGGGTGAACGTACAGGCATTTATTGTATTAATTGTACTTTTCTGTATGTTCAAATTTATAAGGAAGGCAGGGAAGGAGAAAGAGAAAGAGAGAGAGAGACAGAGACAGAGAGAGACTGGGAATTGAAACCAGCCCCTTTTAGTTTTTGAAAGTTTTACTAAATTTCCAGGCTAGGCTTGAACTTGTGATCCTTTTGCCTTAGCAAGTGTGTGATACCACATACATAAATTCAAGGCCATCTTGTGCAACTTGGCAAGACCTGTCTCAAAACAAACAAACAAAACCCTCAAAAATCGGACATGGGCCGGGCGTGGTGGCTCACGCCTGTAATCCCAGCACTCGGGAGGCTGAGGTGGGAGGATGGTTTCGAGTTTGAGACCAGCCTGAGCTACAAAGTGAACTCAAGGCCAGCCTAAACTGCATAGCAAGATCCCATCTCAAAAAGACAAAAAAAAAAATCAGACATGGTAGTGCCCATCTATAATCCCAGCACTTGGTACTGTAGGCAGCTAAATTCAGTAGAAATAGGAAGGCAGAGAGATAGGGCTGGGCCCTCAAGCGAGTCTGTGCAGAAGATGAGAAAGCATTAGGACTGTGGCTGGAGGTGCATCTAAAGATTAAAGTCACAATGGCTAGATTTACCCACTTCTCTAAGGGGGAAACAAGCTTGAGATTATTCCTCTCCCACTTATCAAGATTAAGACTCCAGATTACCAACCAAGATTTAATGATGTCACTCATATGCTCTTTATTTATTTATTTATTTATTTATTTATTTTTTGTACCAAGGCTCAAACTCTTACCACGTGCTTGCAAGGCAGGTACTTATGCTGCTGAGCTAAATTCCCGGTCCCCACCCATATGTTCTTGCTACAACTGGATCAATATTACCTAAGCGACTACCTGCAAACTGACTGGTTAATCATGATTTTGATCCATGTTGTACCTGCCTCATGATTTTACTCTATAAAACTTCCTTTGAGAAATGGCTTGTTGGCAACCCATTTGGGACCTCTCCTGTCTCTCAGAAGTTATTTCTATGCCCCATTCCTTTTCTCCAATAAATTTTCCTACTCTTCACCCTGTGGTTTCTTTTTTTTTTTTTTTTTTTTTTTTTTTGTCTTTTGAGACAGGGTCTGTCTACACAGTTCAGGCAGGCCTTGAGCTCACTTTGTAGCCTAGGCTGGTCTTGAACTCGCAAGGCTCCTCCTGCCTCAGCCTCCCAAGTGCTGGGATTACAGATGTGAAACACCATGCCCGGCTCACTCTGTGGTTTCTTAGAAGTCATTCTTCAATTTCAGAGAACTCAAACTGTGTGTATCTGACATCTAGCATTTGCCCCATATCAGTGATCTCTGGTAGATACCCAAAGGTTCCTCAGTGGAACTGAGTCCCAACAGCCCAACTGGGTAGCCAGCAGAAAAAAATCTCTTTCACCCCCACCGCACTCCTCAGTGAGGTGAGAGGTAACCTTCAGTGATCTTCTGGTATCCTCTGTCCCAGTGCCCAGAGATGATGGTGTTTGAGCCTTTTCTTAAAGCCTCTGTTGACAGTGGAGCTATAGATACAGACTTCAGTCTCTCTGCTAGTAAGTTAGAAGCCTGAGTTTTTCTCTAACTTGCTGGGAGTTAACTTTAGGACCATCTTGTCATTAGACTGCTCCTCCCTCCAGAAATCAGGCCCAGGCAGTTTGCAACAACTATTTGTATTTCATGGAGAAAAACAGCTATAAGAGGAATGATTATATTTGTGCCTTGTTATGCTAGGTAAGAATAAGAAAGAGATTTTAGTCACCTTTCCCTTCTTTCATCTGCAGGGAGAAAACTGATAGAGGTACTCACACTAATACGTGAATTGCGGTTGGTAGGTAATGGGTATAAATTTAACCTGTGAGTTTCAGAGATGTAGAAATTTTTGAACTTTAAAAAGTGTAGCCTTGTGTAAAAGTGTAGCTAGGAAAGGTCAGCTAGGTGATTAGACAGATAACAGGAATGTCTTGGAGACTTCTTTGCCCTAGGATCCAGGGAAGACTTTTCTCTGAGCCATTTTTACCAAATTCTCTCTCTAGAGGCGACCTCTTTCACAGGATGAAAAGTGATGCTAATTGATCTATTTGTCTCATTCTCGAAGAATTAGACAACAGTGATTTAGATCTTTTGATCATTGGTTTTGCTAGCAATGCTTCCTTCTTTAAACATGACTGTTACAGCTGGCATCAACTGCAGCTTATGCTTTCAGAAACATCTGCTAAGGAGTATGAGTTTCTGAGGGAAGACAGGGTCTCGAGCTGGTAAAAAGTGGCTGGTCCAACCTGTCCTATATTTTGGTTCCTCTCCAGACAGCTGCCACCTGCTCTGGAGTAGGTCACCTCAATGAATATCTTGGGGATATAGAAATTAAAAGGGACACAAATTTGTTTCTCTTGCATTGATGAGAAATTCAGTGTCAAAATCTCTTACTCCTTTGGCATGTATTCTTAAGCACTGGAGAGTATTCAACCCTCACATACTGAGAAGGAGCAGCTTGGTATTTTTCTGTACCTGCACATGGCCTGCCTATCCCTAGGGCCAAAAGGGAATTCAGAGGGAAGTATTTAATTATAATGCTATGTCACAATTAGATTTGTGCTGCGAGAGAGGAAAAATGGTCAGAATTGCCTTATGTTCAGACTTTCTTTGCATTAAAAAATGATCCTTGTGTTCAAAGTGTAAATGTAAATCAGGCATGGTGGCTCACACCTGTAATCCAGCATTTGTGGGAGGCTGATGCAGGAGGACCATTGTAAGTTTGAGACCAGCCTGGACTACAAAGTAAGTTCAAGGCCAGCTTGAATTGTATTGTGAGACCCTGTCTCAAAGAAAAAACAAAACAAAAACAAAATATAAATGTAAGCCATAAGAAAACCATATACCCAGGCCTTGAGGCATCCAGTATCACTAAGCCTGAAGCTGCCTTTCTTTTTTTTTTTTTTGGTCTTTTTCCTTTTTATCGCTACTGGGGATCGAACTCACGACTGCCTGCTTGCAAGGCACGCGCTTATGCCGCTGAGCTAAATCTCCAGCCCCAAAGCTGCTTTTCTTTAACCTTTGGAACCTTAGGATGAGGTTTCCAAGACAACTTTATTTTTAAAAAAATTTTTTTCGGGTCAGGGATTTAGCTTAGCTGTGTAAGCGCCTGCCTGGCAAGTGCTAAGTCATGAGTTCGATCCCTGGTGCCAAAAAAAAGAAAAGAAAAGAAAAAAAAATTTTTTTTCCCAAAACAACTTTTTTTTTGGTACTAGGGATCGAACTCATGACCTCATGCTTGTCAGGCATTTGCTTGTGCTGCTGAGCTAATCTCCAGCCCCTTTCCAAGACAACTTTAATCAAAGCCTTGCCCACCATTACTGAGTCTCAGGCTATCCCTACTTGCCCTTCTAGGCCAGTTATAATTAAAACCTTCATGAAAATTTATTCATTCTTAGCTGATTTTGTTCAAGCTCCTCAAGGACAATGTCTCTTACAGGAAGTAAGTGGGGATTTGGAACTACCCACATTCGTATGTCTTTTTTTCTGTGACCTAAAAGAGATCAAAGAAGATCTAGAAAAATTTTCAGATGATCCTGATAAGTACACTGAGGT